GCGTCTGGCAACGAGACGAAGATTTCGCAGTGGCTGATATCTGCTCCGACGAATGCCGCCACCGTACCAGTCGAACTTCCGCGCATTGAATTCTACACCCAATCTGATCAGCAGCCTCGGTGACGTCGCGTTGCCAGAGCATGTCGTTCTGTAAATGCGAGGTCGAAAACGCATTTTGCTTAGTCACAGCGATCTGCAGTGATTCGCAGCTTTAAAGCATTGTAGTAAATTACAGCTACAGTAGTAATAAGCTACAGGTAGCAACTGCTCTCTGCCACCATTTATGGTAAAACATTTGCAGTGCAGTTGTGAAGTGGCACATGAAAGACTACCAAAGCTTAAAAGACCAGTCCTACGTTGGCGAGGCCAATGGCAGTCTCTCTTCAACATGATCCTCTACGATTAGAGTGTACTAGATATATCTATGGTGTACAGGTGGTAACTGCGTGGTCAAGCCTGGAAGAAATGCTACACAAATATCTTCTTACGCATGTTCTTTCTTATGTTTATATAGGCAAGCATGTGCGTCTTCTTTGTCGTGTAAGTAATCAGTGCGTCTTATGGCTATCCATTTGTGCAAGCCAAATTGCACATACATTCCATGCAGTAGTTGGTCCTTGATGTACAGGAGAAAAAAAAAGTGCTTTACTGTCAACATTTCCTGAAATCTTTCCGGAAGTCTGGTCTATAGGTAAAAACATTGAAAAAGCACAAGCCCACTGTGTCCCAACAAAAAAAGCTTTTCATAACTCCAGAGTGCAATTCCGGGACGACTGTGCCATATCAATGTATTGGTATGCAAGAGCCAATGTATAAACCACATGAGAAACTGGACATTGATAGAATGTCTTGTTTGGCCGCCAGAGAAGTGCACGAATATTCCGAGGTAACTCGGATGTTCCATGGAACAAGAGCTCTTGCTACTTACCATTAAACACAGTAAATAGAAAGATCCTGTGGCACACTGTTTTGGAGTATTAAAACTGAGCTTAGTGCAAAACTTGTCCACTAAATCGAGTGCTGGCAGGAAAACTGTCACAAATGTTCAAATAATTACACAACCTAGATGTATAACATTACCATGCTGGTTTGTGTTCAACTGATGCATTGATCCTAATTTTCACACCACCTTTCATAGCTCACTGTACCATTTATCAAGCACTCATAATATCCTACTGTAACCGATCGTAGATTTGAGTATGGTGCCAACAGTTTTGTACTGCTGACTTAAAATAACCACAGATGGTTAATAGCGAACAACTCCGAAGTTGTGGGTTTGTACATGATCTGCTAAGCCAGCTGATTGTACGGTGGAGCCACACTGAAAATGGGTAATGCAATGCAGCACCACAAGATTTGGTGAATAGGTTGAACCGGTGAATAAATTCGGGTGCAAGATACGCAGTGTATGCAGTGGTCGCCCAGAATACTATTACCTCTACCATCTCAAATACTTTGAGTTCTTAGCTACAATACTGCCACAGCAATTACCGGGGCTCCGTCGAGGCCATGGTGGTTTTTGTCTTTTACAGGCATAGTAATAATACTAATAATAATACTAATAACAGCTGAGGTTTAATGTCCCAAAACATCCATATTATTGAGAGACGGCGTAGTGGAGGGCTCCTGCAATTTCGACCCCCTGGCGTTCTTTAACGTGCACCTAAATCTAAGTACACAGGCCTCAAGCTCTTTCACCTCCATCGAAAATGCGGTGATGGCGGCCGGCATTCGACCCCACGACACGAGTGCCTTGACCACTCGACCACAGTGGTGGAGAAGCGTACGCATTTGGGCTGGTTGGTTCATGTTCACAGAAGTTAAAAAACAGCGCTAAAAAGACGGGACAAGAAAAGAAAGGACAACAGGACAGGGCGCTGACTAGCAACCAAATATGTTTATTTCTTCAGTCAGCATACATATATACCACAGCACTATCGCAAAAACAGCCTACGCAGCGGCATGTGAGCCTGCGCAGAGGCATTCCAAAAAATTAGTTTGACAGAAAATTGATTTCCTTCGGAAGGAGGGAAATGGAAGGGAGGCTAACACATGCCTCACCACTGTTATGAATGTGAAAAGCTTCCGAAATGAGACGTGCACGTTCATCGTGGTAGTATGATAAGAAAATGGTATCTTTAAAAGATGGGTGGCAACCGCAGTTGTTACAGTGAAGGGAAAGCTGACTATCTGTAGCGCGATTATGAACTTTGTTTGAATGCTCGCGCAAGCGGTCATTAGCACAACGGCCCGTTTGCCCTATATAACACCGACCACAGGAAAGAGGAATCTTGTAGACCACGCCATGACGACATTTCACAAACTTGTGCCTGTGCTTCTTAGTACATCCTTTTTTGTACGGTGCCTCACGATTAACATGCTGGCATAAGCTGCCTAGCTTATTTTGGGCAGAAAATAGCAGCTTAATGCCTGCCCTGGCGACAACTTTTTTTAAATTGTGCGCTACCTTGTGCACATAGGGGATAACTGCTACGCTTTTTAGCCGGCTATTTTCAGACTGCACCGTGGCCAGGCGCTTGTCCTTACAGACTGCTACTAGGCTTTCAGCAATACTAGTCAAAAGCGTTGCAGGAAAACCTGCAAGCTTCAGGCGGTCAACTTGCGAAAAGAAACACTTTTCAACTTGGTGGTCACAGGACCTGTAGAGCGCCGCCTTCATGCAAGCTCTTGCAATGCCACGTTTAACAATTTTGAGTGCGCCGAAGAAAAGGGAAGAAGGGCCTTTTTTGACCTGGGTGCGTAACCCCAACACACGTGGCTGTTTGAGAACGACAGTTCTAAGTCTAAAAAGCGTAGTTTGTTATTTGAAGGATGCTCAGTCTTCAATTCAAAAGAACTTAATTCTGCGCGGAACACGTCAATTATTTTAGAAGCAGCAGGCTGCGCGTCAGGTGGGTTAGTGCGGTAAAAAATTAAAAAATCATCCACGTAGCGCATCACTTTTACCGTGCTCGTCTGATCTAGCTTGCTCTCTAGATTGCGGTCAAAGCTAGCCAATAAAAGGTCACTCAGAATGGGGGCGATGCAAGACCCTATGCACACTCCTTTACGTTGTATAAAAAGCTTATCATCCAGGCAGATGAAGGTCGATTGCATATAAAACTTTAAAAGTGCTAAAAACCGATGGACAGTGATTCCACAGGCGTTTTGGAACTTAAGAACCCCGAATCTGTCTATGCAATAGCCTACTTCAGTACACACTTCTTCCTGAGGGAGCGAATAATATAAGTCCTTAATGTCTATGGAAAAAGCGCGCACACCTTCTGGACACTCATCCTGGAGAAAGGTAGAAACAGTACCTGGCGCCCTTATGAGGTAGGGGTCGTCGACGTCGAGAAGGTTCTTGGGCCTTCTCGACGTCGACGACCCCTACCTCATAAGGGCGCCAGGTACTGTTTCTACCTTTCTCCAGGATGAGTGTCCAGAAGGTGTGCGCGCTTTTTCCATAGACATTAAGGACTTATATTATTCGCTCCCTCAGGAAGAAGTGTGTACTGAAGTAGGCTATTGCATAGACAGATTCGGGGTTCTTAAGTTCCAAAACGCCTGTGGAATCACTGTCCATCGGTTTTTAGCACTTTTAAAGTTTTATATGCAATCGACCTTCATCTGCCTGGATGATAAGCTTTTTATACAACGTAAAGGAGTGTGCATAGGGTCTTGCATCGCCCCCATTCTGAGTGACCTTTTATTGGCTAGCTTTGACCGCAATCTAGAGAGCAAGCTAGATCAGACGAGCACGGTAAAAGTGATGCGCTACGTGGATGATTTTTTAATTTTTTACCGCACTAACCCACCTGACGCGCAGCCTGCTGCTTCTAAAATAATTGACGTGTTCCGCGCAGAATTAAGTTCTTTTGAATTGAAGACTGAGCATCCTTCAAATAACAAACTACGCTTTTTAGACTTAGAACTGTCGTTCTCAAACAGCCACGTGTGTTGGGGTTACGCACCCAGGTCAAAAAAGGCCCTTCTTCCCTTTTCTTCGGCGCACTCAAAAATTGTTAAACGTGGCATTGCAAGAGCTTGCATGAAGGCGGCGCTCTACAGGTCCTGTGACCACCAAGTTGAAAAGTGTTTCTTTTCGCAAGTTGACCGCCTGAAGCTTGCAGGTTTTCCTGCAACGCTTTTGACTAGTATTGCTGAAAGCCTAGTAGCAGTCTGTAAGGACAAGCGCCTGGCCACGGTGCAGTCTGAAAATAGCCGGCTAAAAAGCGTAGCAGTTATCCCCTATGTGCACAAGGTAGCGCACAATTTAAAAAAGTTGTCGCCAGGGCAGGCATTAAGCTGCTATTTTCTGCCCAAAATAAGCTAGGCAGCTTATGCCAGCATGTTAATCGTGAGGCACCGTACAAAAAAGGATGTACTAAGAAGCACAGGCACAAGTTTGTGAAATGTCGTCATGGCGTGGTCTACAAGATTCCTCTTTCCTGTGGTCGGTGTTATATAGGGCAAACGGGCCGTTGTGCTAATGACCGCTTGCGCGAGCATTCAAACAAAGTTCATAATCGCGCTACAGATAGTCAGCTTTCCCTTCACTGTAACAACTGCGGTTGCCACCCATCTTTTAAAGATACCATTTTCTTATCATACTACCACGATGAACGTGCACGTCTCATTTCGGAAGCTTTTCACATTCATAACAGTGGTGAGGCATGTGTTAGCCTCCCTTCCATTTCCCTCCTTCCGAAGGAAATCAATTTTCTGTCAAACTAATTTTTTGGAATGCCTCTGCGCAGGCTCACATGCCGCTGCGTAGGCTGTTTTTTGCGATAGTGCTGTGGTATATATGTATGCTGACTGAAGAAATAAACATATTTGGTTGCTAGTCAGCGCCCTGTCCTGTTGTCCTTTCTTTTCTTGTCCCGTCTTTTTAGCGCTGTTTTTTAACTTCTGTGCACAGTGGTGGGTCTTTTACAGGCAAGGCCGTGAAAGTAAATGTTGAAAAGAGACTAGTTACACAGACTTGTTCACACATGTTTCAGGGGAGATTTCTTTTATTTTCAGATCCAGTGACATTATTTGATCACCGGGCCTGCTTGTGTATAAAAAATCTACATGCACACAAACATATATACACACACAGACACTTCCTAAGGTTGTGTCTGGCCTGGACGGATTTGAATACTGGTTATTCTTTTTTTTTTTTTTGTCAACTACACAAATATGTCAAGACATTTTACAGCTAAAACTGCTCACTCTCTGTGCAAAGGCTGCACCTCTATCACTCTTGCCATCCGAATCGAGAGACTTTTCTGTCTGCTCTACCGAAAATAATTATGCAGCTGCCACAGTGATTTGTTGGTATTCACATTAAAAGAGATTGTTTGACAAAATGAAAAAAAAAAAAGTAATGGTCAGCGCTAATGAATTCGACTAAACAAAAAGTATTCCAAGAAAACCAAGCAACACAAACATATAGATGTAAGTTCAGGGAAGATTTCACACTACTGTTAGAAAGTTTGAGGCTGTCAATGCCATTTCCTTTACCAGCGGAACGACATCAGAAATGCCAGGTTTGAACGAGTGCCCCAAGAAACAGCGATTTGTCCAAGCAAATGAACTCGACAACTGTATAATAAAGCATAGCAGACAAGGCTGAAGTTGTACATTTGAGTACACCAACATAAATTAAAATGCCCAATCTGTGTTTCAAATCATTTTAGAGTCATTACTCCACATTAACAATGAAAGATAATTCGAACACCATCACACACTCAAGTTTCTTAAAACACAGCAGGAAATGTTGCAGCTTATGCTTCTGTGCTAATCCATTTTTTTTTTTTTTTTTTGTTTATGTGGGGTTTAACGTCCTAAAACTACCATATGATTATGAGAGACGCCGTAGTAGAGGGCTCCAGAAATTTTGACCACCTGGGGTTCTTTACGTACACTTAAATCTGAGCACACGGGCTTACAACATTTCCGCCTCCATCGGAAATGCAGCCACCGCAGCCAGGATACGATCCCGCAACTTGCGGGTCAGCAGCCGAGTACCTTAGCCACTAGACCACTGCTGCTGGGCATGTGCTAATCACTGTAGGCCTATCAAATAAGTGTTGCCTTTCACAACTGGTACCTACTGAATGTGACCAAGACTGTTTAACAAATGCAGCATTTCATTTTGTTGCAACTTGCTGTTTCACCGGAGCAAAAAAAAAGTGATCAAAGTTCATCATCGGTGGGCTGACGGCAATCAAACAATGCACACACCTCTGATCGGTATTTTGCAGCAATAGCTTTCCTGATGCTAATACCTTTTCATGCATGGCCAAAGGTCACAGCTGCTATCCACGCACATCCTCAATGGGACCAGATAGCCCCGAGCTGTGGTTTACAACACTAGTGCAGAATCGAACACAATGCACTGCTATAAAATACCAGCCCAGTTAATTAAAGCCCTGGGCAAGCAGGTTTACAACAACAAGCATAATGAAACAACGTCTGGATTACTTTGCCAGTGCACCTGTCTCGATTGTTGAAACTGTAACAAGCTAGAAAATAGCTTTTGAGCCAATGAGTTTGTCTTTGCACATTAGCATTAAAGAGGCATTGATAACTAAAGCAAAAAAAAAAAACAGTGGACATTCAGAGTGGCCTTACTGTGCCATCCTCAAATTAAATGAAAATTTATATATAACATTAGTTAACTGCACACATCATTTGAGTTATCAGCCCTTTGCTCTGCAAGGTGCCTAGCTGGAAACGTTGGTCCAATGCTATCAAAAGGCAAGATGCTGGCAGTAACAAGCACTCAACGCACGTTACACACACTGCTGAATGCTAGCTTTAAACAGCTATTATGGATACATTAAATGCGAGCAAGAAAGCACTCAGTAGAATATATCCTGTTAGTGAAAGTATGACTTTAACAGGCAAGCACGCAAACATGGAAATGCATAGGAACAAAGGGACAGCACGACACCATTCCTTTTTATTCGTATTAAGTCTGTATTGGCATGCATTCTTTTCAGTGAATGTAGTACCACGAAACCTACTAGCTTGCCTAACTTTCGCCGATTTTAAGCAACTTAAGACTGCCAGTTTTCATTGGTACTCATCTAATCACCAACCGGATACTGAAAGTTCTATGGCTAAAATCTCGCTGCCACCACAAATGATAAAACCAGTATGGTATGGCATGGTATAAAGAACTTTATCAAAGTCCTGAAGATCAGCCCAGGACTGATGCTGGCTGCTCCCACATCGAGACAGAGAGGCCAAGTCCCTCTGCCGCCGCACGGGTAACTCAAGTGGAATTCTACCTGCTTCTAACCTGCTCGCATTTATTCAATCCACACCAGCACCTTGATACCAATTTCCCAGATCTTGTTACGAGAGAACAACGGCGAGATGTGCGTTATGTACAAGTGAGATGCAGCTCTGGCCATTCGAACCAGATGGGCAACAGTGCAGCTAAAGAGTCAGCCAGCTTGAGCAAACGGTGCCGCCTTCAACACAGGCAGACCCCTCCCGGCTACAGGGTCTCCTTTCTCTGGCAGTGATAGTGAAACGATGGTTAAAGAGAAACAACTGCCTTCAACTAGCTTGGCTAGTAGGCAAGCCTTTGCAAACACACACAAGAAACAAGAAAGCAGTAAACAAGAAACAGTGGCCCTCTGAACACATTAAGCTATGCTTTAAACAAAAAAATAATGAAGGGCGAGAGGGGACAGAGAGTAGTATAACTGTGGTAATCAATACGTGGAGTTACCTAGTCGTCAGAGATTCAGGTCACTACAAGAGTAAAATGAAAGAGTAACATTCGTGTGGTTGAATTTTTTTGTGAAAAATACCTGGAAGGTCGAAACTAATATGCAAGGGGAATAAAAATGTGACATCAGCAGGGAATCAATTTCCTGATAAGTACGAAAAGACTGTTACAGTAATAGTAAACATGAATAATTTGCTCATTACAGTCCCTGGCTCTGATATGAACAAACGCACAGCTGTTGGAGTGCCGTTGGTACAAAAACACTGAAGCAACCAAACTGTGCAACAATGTTTTTTCGTTAGCTTCCTGTCCTAGAAATTTCCGTCTGATATGTTTCGAGAGTTAAAACAAAAACAGTGTTCTTACTCTAGACAAATAAGTGCCAAAGATAGGACAAAAAGAGTCTAGCTAGAGATGGTCACAGCACTGTTAGTCAAAACCACTCGACGACTGGTCTTCTCTCGAGTCCCCAACAAGTTGCAGGCATCACTCAGTGCCATCTTAGCACGATGCAATATCACATATCCGTGAGATTCACAGAGATACTGTTTCAGAGGAGGAAACTAAAACTTCCACCATCTAGTTGTGAATTCACAATGAGAAATGGCATTAAACTCCCGGGCAGTCTGCTTATCAGTATACCACCACAGTAAAAAAAAAAAAGTGTGATTTGCTTTCAAATAGCAAGCTCTATAGTCGGTTACAGCCTAAGAATAAATGTAAGCTCCACCCACAGTGGTGACGCCCATCCAAGCAAATTTTCATAAATATTGTAATTAATTGTAATAGCTTAATTATGTGATGTAAAAACCTTTCACATATTTTAGGCATACAACTTAGCCATACAGGCACGTGTTCATTTCGATAGTTTTCGGTAAAAAAACATTTACTTATTGGCATATTTCATCAAATATTCCAACTTCACTGCTCAGCCAAATGTAACATTTTAATACGGAACAATAAACTTTTCAATCATTCTATGCACAGTATTTGCATTATCAGCAAAAAGTGCCTATGATTTGAATGGAAATCACCAATCATTGCTTTGTAGCACAGGTGAATAACAGGTGCACTGCAGTAGTGGGGGCGGAGCGGATAGTTACTATTCTTAGGTTGTAACCGATTATAGTGAGCTGGCCAACAATAAGTTAATACTATACAGAATATAAGTGCTGCCACAAACAGAAAAATCACATTAGGTGCAAATGGACACGTTTAGTAGAACCAAAGCGTGCATTAAAAAAGTGGAATGTTTTATCTGTCACTAACCTTCATTTGATTTCGCAGTTATAAAGGGACCAGGCTATCAGACCAATGGCCATAAATAATGTGATAATCAATTCTCTTGAAGCTCATGACAAAAATACACTTGTCAACAAAACTTTCCCTTGCAATAAGCAGAGGGGAGAAATTAATTCCCCTGAGGAATGCGTTTGATAAAGAGCAGCCATGACATATCGGATCATATGTTAAACAGCTCGACATGCAACCAACACTTTTTTCTCTTTTTTTTAATGTGGCTAGCAGATTCACTGCAAGTCTGTGCAAGCACATTGATTTGGCCAGCTCGAAAACATAACGAGGTAATTCGTCTTTGTCATGGGGCCCGTCGCACATCGTCTACGTGAATGAAAGGATATTCATAAGATAACATTTGCATAGACTGTTGAGAACTTTTGTTCCTCTTAATAAGGCTTTCAACCAAAAAGTAGTTCATAAAGAACCTGCCAACAACCTTTCAAAATTAAATTTTTGAAAAACCATGGCCAAAATAACCACCAAAGTGGCTACTAACTTCTACACAGCCTGGAGGTCTCTAAATGCATTCAACAAGAAAACATGGCACCTCTCATCAGGCACACCGGTAAAGCACTCTTATGCACAAATTGCAGTGTACGAAGTTTTTTTTCTTTTTGATGATCATTCACTTACCTTTCCTGCTGCCATAGTCACGCTTTACCATGACAGTAACACCAAGAAAAGTGCCCAGAAGTTCCTGATAAAAAGTGCCAATAACAACGTTCGTGCAACAATGCAGTGACTGGCTACAGGTTGAAGCAGATCAACAATGGTGACGCGTTGCACACATACAATTACTGCACCAATACGCACACGTGTTCAAGTGTGTCACCTCCGCCGAAATGTAGCTGCAACGGCCAGGAGCTGAACTCGTGGTCTCATAGGCAGCAGTGTCTTGTTCTTATGAGAGACAGATCCCAAGACAGATTTCTGGAAACACACGATGTAGGGCTGCCCCGCTCCACAATTGGTCTCTACACCCGAGGGAGCTGTTTCTTGGCAGAGGAGGTAATGAGGCAAGCCGACTTGACGACCCATCATATAAACCACTCTCGTTTCTTGGTGACGTCGTGACCCCTGACCCCGTGCACCACAGCAGTGTCTGCATCGGGCGCATCCTTGGCACCAGAGTCTTCATAAGTGAGGTACTCTCCTTTGTGGCGAGACACGTAGCGGCCCAAGATGATAGCCATGATCACGATTGCTGCTAGAATTACAGCCAGCACGCCTGGAAAAAAACGAACAGTCGCGGTCAATAGAGTACAACTAGGTGACACAGCATGCACATTGTCATGATAGTGGGGCACACAGATTGTAAGGTGACTATCACTAATTTCCTCGCCTACCAGCTGCATTCATCTAATCCCAGTAGTTGTCATCCCCGCTTTGGTTTACCCTACACACAACTAGGTGTAGGAAGTCTCGCATATAGAACTCGAGGAGTGTGAGAAGGTGATAGTGGGAAGCACTTACCAGTTCATTGTAGAACATGTGCCTAAAAGTGCAAGCCCATTTTGGGTAGGACAAAGGGCATGTCAAATCCTGAAAGTCTCACGGATATTTAGCCACGCCTAGATAGGTGCGTCGGCCTAAATGTCGGTAACTCTCCAAGAAAAAAAGAGCTTGATTTTCATGGGTAGACAGGTGCCCTGGTGGGGGGAGTGTGCTGTAGTCACACAGTCATGTTTGTTACTGCACACGTGCATGGTTCCTGATTTCGATGAATTAGTTTTCTCTGTGCGTCCTGTCTACTACACTGGTGTCTCATCTCAAGAACAGCTCGATAAGTTCACAGAAAACTGCGAATACAAAGACTGCAGTTGTACGAAATAGCTTCAAGTGCTTACCACCCAGTATTGCGGAGTCAGCATAGCTGGACACAGCCCAGGGCTCTCGATAGACCCCCGGTGGCAGTGTAGGTGGCGGCCGTGTCTCGTCTTCGGGAGGTGCATACGTGACTGGCTCAATACCACAAGTGTCTTCTCGCACGGCCCCTTCAGGATAGGCGTGCACGTTGCTCCGCCTGCTTTCTTGAAAGTAGCGTCTCAGTGGCATGTGGTCGTCAAACTGTACACGTGAAATGCAGCCTACAAAGCCTTCACCGGTGCCCATTGACTCTGCAATGGACAAGAAATGAATTGGAAAAGAGAGAAAGAAGTGGCTAAACCTGTAAACGTGCTAGGACGTATTTATATCAAATCTGTGTGACTGGAAACATGTCGAAGCATAAATATGCTCCTACATATGGATATAGTATGCATACATATTTATACCCTGCATTTTCTTGCTGGTAACCTGTTTTTGCATATAACCCGCGCTCCGGAGTTTCTCGCAACAACAAGAAAGAAAAAACACATTTTACCCCTTTATAGAACACACATCTACACTTTTTAAGAACATTTCGCCGTTTTTTTGGTGTTGGTATAAGTGAGAAAATATGGTATATGTGATTTTGCCTCCCAGCCAAATAAAAAGGTTGTAGACTTGCCAAGCTGTTCGAGGACAGTGTTTATCCAACAGTCTCCCATCTGTAACTATACAGGATGGCAAGATAAGCAATTTTAGTTTCAAAGCAAGCAATCGTGAAAATGTGCCAATTGTATGTGAGACTCGACTTATAATTATTCTTAGATGAGAAATTATAAGTACAGCACAAAACATGCTAATAGCAAATTATGGCATAAAAGGTAACATGATTATTAATCTATGCAAGAACACTCACAGAACATATGTTTTGTTCAACCTCTAATAAATTATCACTCTTTCATCTGTAGTGCATTCCAGAACAATCAATAGATAGCACTCGCTGATGTATGATATACTCAATTTAAAAAATGACAACTCTCTGCCAGCGCCCATCCCATTTGATTGATTGATATGTGGGGTTTAACGTCCCAAAACCACCATATGATTATGAGAGACACCGCAGTGGAGGGCTTCGGAAATTTCGACCACCTGAGGTTCTTTAATGTGCACCTAAATCTAAGCACACAGGCCTCAAGCATTTTCGCCTTCATCGAAAGTGCTACCACCATGGCCGGGATTTGATCCCGCGACCAGCGGGTCAGCAGCCGAGTGCGTAAGTAGCCACTACACCACCGTGGCTGGTTTAATAGACGAGTTGCTTATAGACGTACCATGCTTGTAATCAACCAAACCATTTTAAAAATCCTGGTTTATTGTTAAATTCGAGGCTCTAATTTACTAATGTTTAAAATTTGAAAAACAGGATGTGGATGACATTGTGCTCTATTTTCGGAAAAAGACGTAATTCTATTCTAATTCCATTCCGAGTGAAATGTGCTTTACTTCATTCCTATTCCATTCCTCCAAGCATTGTCCCCATTCCATTCTGGTGTCGCGAAAATGTGGAGTGATTCCAGAATCATTCTAATTCCGGAGTGGCAACTGCACAAAACTGGCTGAAATATACATACTCAAACATCGATATGAAGAATCTGGATATTGCCGCGAGGCGTATTGCGGATAGTGTTGCGCATGCCGATACCGCCGGCACGCGGCCTTATCGTGGTCCAGGATGCACCGCGACTCATCTGCGAAGATCATGGTCCGCACGTCGACCATTCGTTGATAACGAGATAGCGCCAGACGCTACGGCGACTGTATCTCGGATGGTGAACGCGCCTTGCGTTCCAGTGGGACATTTCTGTTACCCGACGGCCGTCGAACGCGCTGTTCGCCTCCCGCTAAGCCGGTGTGTCTGTTTTCCTTTAGTGGGCGCAAGTCCGCCAAATAAACGGACCTCCTTCTATTTCTACTAACCTCCCGGTCTCCTGTCTTCGGGCTACCCTCACTCTTACGTGACATCTGGTGGAACTGTGGCGTATGCACAAAAACGACTTTAAAACAGCCACTGCAGAGAACGAGGACGCTGAAGACACAGATACTCGAAGCAGTCGCCGCCTCCGAAACCTGCCACCTGAGCTGGGATCGCTACAGGACCCCACGCGACCACGAAAGAACGCTACCACAGCCAGCATGAGCACCCCGCAATCACCTACCCCTGTCATGCTGCAGCAGCCGCGGGTGCCCCCAACTTTCCATGGTTATGCCGCTGAAGACCCAGAAGAATGGCTCGACCAATTCGAGCGCGTGGCTACCATAAACAGGTGGGATGAAGAAATGAAGCTGCGATACGTTTACTTTTCCCTGGACGGCCCCGTCAAAACGTGGTATGAAAACCATGAGACCACAGTGACCACCTGGGAATTTCTGAAGAATGAGTTGCTCAGGACCTTCACCAGCATCATGCGAAAAGAAAGGGCCCAGCTGCTGCTAAAATCGAGGACCCAACAGCCCAATGAGACCCTAAACGTGTACGTCGAAGAAATGAAACGTCTTTTTAGGCGAGCGGACCAAGACATGACCGAAGACAAAAAGGTCGGATACCTAATGCGAGGGGTGAAGGAGTCGCTTTTCACCGGTCTCATAAGGAACCCTCCTAAAACAGTCGCCGAATTTACTGAAGAAGCGCACACCATAGAAAGGACCCTAGACGCCCGGACTCGGCAATACAACCGCCCGTTTCAGCTCAGCTCGCTCTACTTGGAACCGATTCGAGGTGGGCTAACCACCAACGATCTGCGGGAAGCTATTCAAGAAGTGGTTAAGGAAGAACTACGCCGATCGCTACCGCCTACCCCCTAGCCCCCCCTCCCAAGGAGCATCTCTCTTGGACATAGTGCGTGATGAAGTCCAGCAGGCGCTTGGCTCTTCATCAGCGACGACTCGAACAGAGGCCGAAGCAATTACTTACGCCGCTGCAGTGAACACTAGGCCACCCCGACGAAACGAGCCCAGTCCTCGACGATACGCTGCAGCCCCAAGTAGCCGTCCGCCTTTACCCGCCCACCCTACATACGAGAGACGCCCGAGCCAAAGAAAATGCGACACCTGGAGAACTCCCGACGACCGTCCCCTATGCTTTCACTGCGGTGAGGCCGGCCACATTCTTCGACACTGCCCCTACAGGCGGATGAGACTGCATGGCTTCTCATCTGAGGCACCACGGCCACGCCCTGGACAACGACCTCCGGCAATCGAAGACTACTTGCGCCATACAGAGTACTTGTCCAGCCGTTCTCCATCACCGCCATCCCCACGCTTCACGTCACCGAACCGCAGCAACAACGAACGAAGAAGGTCCCCAAGCCCCCGTAGGGGAAACTAAAACCAGCAACCTTTGGAGGTGAGGTTGCTTCAAGAAAAAAAGCTGAAGACCCTCCACCGACGACCATATATGACGACAGCACATCATCTACGACGACGACAACGCACAACAACCCAAGCCGCGAGACGAACCAAAACGAAGCAACAAGACGAAGCCGTGACCCGAACCCAAAACCAACGCGCAACTCCAGCCCACGTGCCACCGATTTTGAAGTATCTATCGACGGCCACCCGGTAACTGCCTTGATTGACACAGGAGCTGACTACTCGGTCATCAGCGGGCCATTGACAGCACAACTGAAGAAGGTTAAGACGGCTTGGGACGGCCCGCAGATCCGCACAGCGGGAGGCCACCTCCTCACCCCATCGGGGTGATGTACTGCAAGGGTGACATTCGATGGTCACACATACCTTGCCACTTTCTTGGTGCTCTCACAGTGCTCCCGTGACGTCATTCTCGGCATGGACTTCTTGACTCAACATCACGCGGTTATTGACCTGGCGTCCAGATCCATCAAACTTTCCTCGGATGAAGCCATAAATTCATACTCGGCACCACATAATCGCGCAGCCCTCTGTGTGCTCGAGAATGATGTGAGCGTCCCACCCCGATCAACGACCCTAATCCCCGTAACCACCGGTACTGCCGAAAATGCTCATGGCGTCGTCGAAGGTAACATACAGCTTTTGCTTGGCCGTGATATCGCAATCGCAAGAGGCATTGCGGACTTCCGGAATGGACAGGGCCCAGTGCTGCTAACAAATTTCAGCCAAGAACACCGTCACCTGGCCAAAGGCACGACCATTGCCTTTCTCGATGAAATCGCGGAAGTCAGTGACACCCTCGCCCTCTCGAATCCAGCGACTATCACCCCACAGACCCACAACTCGCAGCTGTCATTCGACATTAACCCTTCCTTGCCTCAATGCAAGCAGCAACTGCTCCAGAACCTCCTTCGACGTTATGACGACTGTTTTGCCACTTCTTCACAGGTCCGACACACTTCTCTGGCAAAGTATCGAATCATAACACAAGAAGACATCCGCCCTCTCCATCAAAGCCCTTATCGTGTGTCGGCACGTGAACGTCAGGCCATCCGAGAGCAAGTTGAGGAAATGTTACACGACGATGTAATTCAGCCATCGAAAAGCCCATGGGCGGCACCAGTCGTCCTTGTCAAAAAGAAAGACGGAAGTCTTCGGTTTTGCATCGATTACCGACGGTTGAATAGTGTACCCTTTACCAAGGATCGACGATACCCTAGATCGTCTTAGTGATGCAAGGTACTTCTTGTCCATTGACCTGAAGACAGGGTATTGGCAAATTCAGGTTGATGAAAGAGACAAAGAAAAGACCGCCTTAATCACGCCGGATGGATTGTATGAGTTCAAAGTGATGCCATTTGGACTTTGTTCTGCTCCAGCAACCTTCCAGCGTATAATGGACACAGTACTGGCAGGTCTCAAGTGGCAAATATGTCTCGTATACCTGGACGATGTGGTCGTCTTCGCCTCCAACTTTAGCGACCACCTGAAAAGGCTCCGGACGGTACTGGACGCAATTAAGTCATCAGGGCTGACACTGAAGCAAGAAAAATGCCATTTTGCCTATGAAGAACTGCAGTTCCTTGGCCATGTTATAAGCAAAGATGGCGTAAGACCAGATCACGAGAAGACAGCCACTTTCGCACAGTTTCCTCAACTGCAAGATAAGAGAGCAGTGCGCCGATTCTTAGGACTGTGCACCTATTACCGACGCTTTGTCAAGAACTTCTCACACATTGCTGCCCCTTTGACGCAGCTCACCAAGTCGGACGCCCCTTTCGAATGGAAAGCTGAGCAACGTGAGGCATTCAAAGAACTTCAACAACGTTTACAGTCGCCGCCTGTGCTGGGTCACTTTGATGAAAATGCCGAAACTGAGATACATACAGACGCCAGCAGCATCGGCTTAGGTGCCGTTCTCGTTCAGAAGCACAAGGGCTGCGAGCGCGTCATCGCGTATGCAAGCCGCTCACTGTCGAAAGCTGAAGTGAACTATTCCACGTCTGAGAAGGAGTGTCTTGCGATAGTATGGGCCACCTCGAAATTTGCCCATACTTGTATGGCAGACCCTTCAAGGTCGTAACGAACCATCATGCGTTGTGCTGGTTGGCCAGTTTGAAAGACCCTTCTGGCCGCCTCGCTCGATGGAGCCTACGGCTTCAGGAGTTTGACGTGAAGGTAGTATACACATCTGGTCGTAAGCACTCCGACGCAGACTGCCCCTCAAGAGCCTCTGTCGGCGCACCACCAAGCCATGAAGACGACGATGCCTTTCTTGGGCCTATCAGCAGCAGCACCTTTGCATTACAGCAGCGCTCAGACCAGATCCTACAACAGTTGATCAACTACATCGAAGGAAAGGCCTCCATACCGCCTGCACTGTTCAAGCGTGGGATATCCTCCTTCTGTGTGCAAAACGGGGTGGTAGTTAAAAAGAACTTCGCACCGAATAAGGCAGCTTACCTTCTTTTCGTCCCAAGCAGCCTCAGAGAAGAAATTTTACAAGCGTTACATGACGAACCCACTGCAGGCCACCTCGGTTTTACACGCACTCTCCATAGAATTCAAGATTGATACTACTGGCCCCGCCTCTCCTCAGATGTTGCGCGGTACGTCAAGAGTTGCCGCGAATGTCGGCGCCGGAAGAGACCTCCAACAAAACCAGTTGGATTCCTAAAGCCAATTGAACCCCCGTCGAGACCATTCCAACAGATTGGTATGGACCTGCTTGGACCTTTCCCCACATCAACATCCGGTAACAAGTGGATCATAGTGGCCACTGATTACCTTACCCGATACGCTGAAGCTAAGGCCCTCCCGAACGGCACAGCCGTAGAAGTTGCCAAATTTTTTGTCGAATCAATTCTCCTCCGTTATGGCGCACCTGAGGTACTAATAACAGACAGGGGAACAGCGTTTACGGCTGATATTACTCAGGCAATCTTACATTACAGTCATACAGATCACCGAAGAACAGTTGCGTACCATCCGCAGACAAATGGTCTCACGGAATGCTTGAACAAGACCATTGCCGATATGCTCGCTATGTACGTGGACACAGAACACAAGACCTGGGACTTAATTCTGCCTTACGTGGTCTTTGCCTACAACACCGCGGTGCAGGAGACCACTAAAATGGCACCATTTAATCTCGTCCATGGGAGGGATGCCGTTACTACCCTGGACGCCATGCTGCCTAATGTCACCGATGAAAACAACCTAGACGTGGCCGCCTACCTTCAGCGCGCAGAAGAAGCCCGGCAGCTTGCTCGACTGCGCATAAAAGACCAACAGCGAAACGACGCAAGACGCTACAACCTGCGGAGACGCGATTTAATATACAGGCCAGGTGACAAAGTCTGGGTTTGGACGCCCGTTCGCCGCCGAGGATTAAGCGAAAAACTCATGCGCCGTTATTTCGGCCCATACAAAGTCACCCGTCAAGTGGGTGAAGTGGACTATGAAGTGGACTATGGAAGTGGTCCCTGATGGGGCTAGCTCATCCCAACGACGCCGCGCACGACAAGAAGTGGTACACGTCGCTTGTTTAAAGCCCTATCATGCGCGCTAAAGGAGGCTCCCTGTTTGCATCTCTTGTTTTGTTCATGTGTACGTGATTCGTGCTTATTTGCCATTTACTTTCGCACAGGCTGTCCTTTTGTTTTGGTTTTATTTTAAACAAAGCATCGGGTCGATGCTTACGTTGAGGAGGGGAGCAATGCCGAGAGGCGTATTGCGGATAGTGTTGCGCATGCCGATACCGCCGGCACGCGGCCTTATCGTGGTCCAGGATGCACCGCGACTCATCTGCGAAGATCATGGTCCGCACGTCAACCATTCGTTGATAACGAGATAGCGCCAGACGCTACGGCGACTGTATCTCGGATGGTGAACGCGCCTTGCGTTCCAGTGGGACATTTCTGTTACCCGACGGCCGTCGAACGCGCTGTTCGCCTCCCGCTAAGCCGGTGTGTCTGTTTTCCTTTAGTGGGCGCAAGTCCGCCAAATAAACGGATCTCCTTCTATTTCTACTAACCTCCCGGTCTCCTGTCTTCGGGCTACCCTCACTCTTACGTGACATACTGCTTATAACGAAATACTGGTTATAACGAAGTTAATGCAAGGTCTTACAAAAATATAGTTTTAGGAATAAACCTTTCTGGTAAATTTTTGTGTATAACGAACATTATTTTCGTATGACATGTAACTTCGTTATACTGAGGTAACTCTGCAATAATGTCCTGAATAGACGATACTCCGTTGACATTTTACGCACTGTGTAGTTCTATTTATAGTCCTTTCATCCAGCTCCACACCATAAGGGATGGGCAGTGGCCCAAGGCAACGTACAGTAGATCATAGCACACGTGACTGCCAAATTGCAAAGGCACAGCTAGGGCTGTGTTGACAGGAGTGAGCTCGGCCGAATAGATTTTCAACAGTAAAGTAGATGGTTTTCGGGGGCGCGAACTAGAAGTTGCGGCGAAATGTGTCCTCCGTGACAACTGAGACACACGGGCCTGTGTCAAGCTCAATTTACAGCAAAATTATATTCACGGAAACTTCGACATGGAACGGCTGAGTGTTCTCTGCACCTTGTAGTTTCCACATTTCGTATACTTGCAGCGCATCAAGCTGCTTTTCAGTTCTGTCGCTACTGGTGTGGTCCATAGCTCGAGCACAGACTTTTTATTCCCAAACAGCGTCGCCTGTCCTTTAGAGTTCCCAGCACCTTTTTTTTTCCTTACACACACGAAAAAGATGGCGCTTGAGCTAACAGTTGTGGCACACACGGTTCAGGTGACGGCACTGTGTAGCCAGATTCTCGCTGCCACAGCAAAAACACACAACTGACGTTCCTTCCTGCCTCAGTTTCGACGAACCCCGTGAAACGGCGTTGGCCAGCACGGCGAACGGCAACGATGCCATCAAAAGGGCGCACAAATCTTTGCTTGCCGCCTCCATCATAATGATCGTTTTCTTCGCCATGTCTTGTGTCAAGTCCAAATGCTCCAACAGTTGTCTCTGCACCGCTTCATCATTAATGCCCGCCACGACATGGCCACGCAGCATCCTGTCACAAAATGTGCCAAACCCGCAGTCGTCGGCAAGTTTGTTCAAAGATGCAAGGTAATCCGCAGCTGTTTCACCTGCTTGTTGTGTTCCTGAGTTGAACTTGAACGTAGCAACAACTTCTGACGGTTTTTGCGAGAAATGCTTCCCGAGCACATCAAAATTGGTCATCAAACTTGCTTCACACAGCTTCACAGGTGCCAGTAGGTTCCGAACCAGGGTGTATGTGGCCGGGACGCAACAAGTGAGTAAGACAGCTCTTTGTTTGTCATCCAGCAGGTTATTGCAAATAAAGTACTCTACAGTTCATTCTCGGTATTCCTCCTAGCTTCTCTGCACGTCAAACGGCTCCACCTTGCCGACGCCAGGCATTCCCGAAGTACAGGAACGCAGCCCTGGGCCGTAGCAGCATTAGAACGAACAGCCTCCAAGCAGCTCAATGCTTCCCACCCTCGTCGCCATTGTGATATAAGAGAGAGGAGCCACAAAACGAGACGACCATCCCAAACAGATTCTGGTGGCTAACTGCTTAATTTCAGCTTGCGCGCTCCGCCAACTGTGCTGTCAAAACCACCGAGCGCCATCCGTCGGTGAGGTTGCACCATCTGTCGTGCCCTCGGCCAGACGCATAGCGAAAACATCACACCATATCAGTTCTTTGTAATTGTCTGCCAATATGATTGAGGCTTTGTATAATGCTCCTGCTCAAAATGAATGATTTCTTAGTGGCCTGAATGGTCAGAATATTTGAAGATTGTCTATTGCCCCTGGCCATTACACTTCAGCTCCGTTTCCTCAGAGATCAAGCTTGCTGGGCATACGAACCAGGCTCTTACAATCAATAGGGTCATTGTTCGTGTTTGCTTCTGTAACGTAATTAAATAGTCCTGCGGCCACAAGGTAAGCGCCAGCTTTCAGGTCGGTCACTCGCTTGTATCATGACAGATTACTAGTCCCACGAGTTAAGGTAATACACAGAAAAGAAAAGGGACTTATCATGGGCATACTTGCAGCGTATGCTGCTGCATCCCTATCGCTATGACAATTACCCAGACGATCGCACCTGCATCAGTGTGGAAGCAACTGGCATAGCATGCGGAGAATAACCATACATACAAAGACATCGTTAGCCTAACCGCAACAAAAGCTGTCATTCCTGGAAGATGCCAGCACAAATGATGGAAAATGAGGGGGCCTTTTACCCTTTCACATTCCTTTTGTCTCTTTTTTCTTTTTTTTATATTCCTGTTAAATGTCTAGTTTTTCTTACACTGTACCATTTTAACGAAAAATCTGACAGCTTTGCAGCCACACATTCGAAAACACGGCTAGCAAGCAACTTTTGAACAATGAGGACACAGTTGTAGCAAGCTAGACAGAAGTGTGCAGGTATCGATGGATAAAGATATATCGAGCACAGTATCACTGACAAAGTACTGCAGAGAAGCACACTTTCAGTGCAAGTAGCAAGGAAAGGAGGCATGAAGGTTGCCCTAGTGCTACCTTGACTTGAGGGAGCACCGGGGGGGGGGGTCTCAGTGACAGAAACCTTTCAGAATACAGAGCGTTTCAGAATATGGGCCTTAAAATCCTCCAGATACCTCCATGCACAACTCATATATGCGAGTTAACACTGTAACAATGCAAATATGGCTCACAAACATCTGTAAAATTGATAGTTGCAATAACAACAACATGAATTCACAGCTGTCAACAATTGATCAGCTCACCATTTCGTCCCACATAAATGCTAAGCAGGTCGTTGAACTGTGCATCAGCCTTGCCTCGAATGTTGAACGTGTGAACCTGAGGTTCGTAATTGTCCACCTGAGTGAAAGAAGATAACATATTTGACACTTGCCTTGCATGAGAAAGGAAATGCAATTTTTTTTTATGTAATTGCCAAGTAATTGCAGTGCTGAGGCGACACACATACAGAGTAAACTTGAAAAAGAATCATGCAGTGAACACAGACCTTGAGCTTATGTTTCTGTGCCACTGTTTCATACTCAAGCATCAGTGCACTGGTGTGAAAGTTCCATCTCAGCAGCAGAGTCGCATGTCTTACAACCATTCATTCCACACCAATTAGCTCTTGAGGCTGAAGTAGTTCTTTATGAACTGCTATCACGAAACTATTTCTACACTACCAACAGTGTGGCATCTCTAATGCACCATAAAGAATCCAAACTTAGCACACTCAATTGGCGCGTACACTTCAATGGCAACCACTGGAGAGTCATCTCAGTGAATCCATGTTATTTAAAGCTTTGATATCTTTTCAATATGGCATAGTGGCAGGTTCATACACATTACTCCCTTCATTAAATTCTTTTTTTTTTCTCGCTCTGCCACACATGTTCGCAAGTGGATTCTAAAGCAACGGAACACTAATACACTGAAAACTCCACACATGCAAAATGTACGCGAACTTAAGGGCTTCGTTGCTTGGTTACACATGGGACAAAAAAGCAAACTGCAGTGAAAAATTACCGTATAAACTGGAATATAAGTGAGCTATTTCAATTGATAATAAGCAAAGTCGCCCATTAGTCGTATATAGCGGTGGTTTTAGCCGAAAGTCCGCTGCTGTATGGGAACATGTGGCTGCATGGCTTGAGAAGCGGACGCGGCCATATTCGCATCAAATACAATTGCAGCCTGTTCTTTTTTCTCTCATTGCTTTCTTCGTGTTGTGATTTGCTTCCAATCTGTTTCTGAGTTTTCGCTCTGCTTGACATGCGCTGCATTGTTAGTGTCTTTTTTTTCGTTCTCGAGTAGGGTAGCAATGCGAAGAGGCAGTACTCAGCTGGTTTAATAGATGTTGTTGATTTGCAGAAGCGAACGGGAATATGGATGCTCAGCGCCGCTTTGGTGTATCGGGAATTCTCGCAGAACGATCACAAGAGGCTTTCTTTAGTTCAACTAGCGATGGGAAAATCGTGCATCGACAGAGTGCACATGATCTGGCCGCTGCAGTGATTTTGAGAGATAAATTAAACTGCACTCAGTTCGACCTATCACAGGGTCTCTCATTGTTCACTCGTGGGCGGGTGACAGAAAGGGCAAGGTTCAGAAAGGGCAAGGGTAAGCTCTAAAAGGCCAGCCCACTTCCTTCCCCCTTCTAAACGCTTCAGAACTTTCATGCACTAGAACACCATTGTGGCTTAAAGTGAGAGAGTTACGACTAAGCTGCATACATTTTAAATTGAAAGTACTGAATACTAATATTTCAGCACCCTGAAAAGTGGTAAAATATTGCATCATAACCCAGAATGCAATGCAATTAACAAAATACGGTTTTCGTTTTTTTTCACAGGGTCTATCCAAAAGCTTGAACCTGAAGTATCGTGTATATTAAAGAAAACAAAAAAAAATGTGCAAGTCTAGTCCTTTATAACAGTCATTCAGGCATAAGTGTGCACCAAATCAGAGGTCACACAACAAAGACAACCAGATGCACAGCCAGAACTTACAAATATTGTCAGCCTCTCTCCGTTGTGGGTACGTTTGATCTGGACATCGTGAATTTGACCCAAGGCAAAGTTTTCATTCTTGATAATGAGCTCTTGCCGTTCAAAGCCAAAGTCAAAGACCAGCCTCAGGTGACCTGGGCAAAGAAACAAAGCAGAGAGGAAACAGCTAAAAATTATCATTGTGCGAGTCAGATTTGAATGTGAATGATTCCAACTAGACAAACTTGCCAACAAAACAGTGGGGAAAGGAGCAAAACAAGCTCTCATGCTTACTTCTGAGAATAGCAAGACACATGCATGTAGCTGCAAAGCTGGCCAGTACAGCAAATGGTACAAACGTGTTTCTTTGTGTTGTGCTTGTGCGTGAAACAGGTACCCTGACCTTGAAGATACTTTGATGAACACCTTTTTTTTCTTTTTCGGTAACCTGAGCTTGGGGGGTCGACCTATATTCTCACTCGACTTATAGTCCGGTTTATATGGTACAACAGCCTCTGATGCTGTCCAGAGAATTCTAAACTTTCCAAGAGTGCCCAACAGTTGACTGAAAGCTTTAATGAAGCAAGAGTTTGAGAAAAAGCTGAAAATATTCACAGCTCCAGAAATCGGTTTAGCATTCAGATTTAAACTGTCAGCCAGTATATGTGAACAACAGCAGTGCATAGTTTTATTGGCTTCAGTCACACAAAGCAGACGAATTTGCCGGCATCTTCAATAGCACAGCTGTTAAAGCTTTTGCAGTTGAAAGTACATCTTTATTGCATAGCGATAAGCAGAATCTATAGCTAAAGGGCAAGAGTGCACAAGTCCTAGAGCTGCCTGAGGCCAAATGCACTTTTGGTATACACAAGCCCACCCCGTGCAGTTCATTCTCACAGAACGATCACAAGAGGCTTTCTTTAGTTTGGCTAGGGATGGGAGAAACGTGCTTTGACAGAGTGCACGTGATCTGGCCGCTGCAGTGATTTTGAGAGATAAATTAAACTGCACTCAGTTCGACCTATCACGGGATCTCTCATTGTCCACTCGTGGGCGGGTGACTACTGTAAGCTCTAAAAGGCCAGCCCATCTAGAACACTAGATGGGCTGGCTTTGCCATCAAAGCACCGCCTTCCCCCTTCTAAACGCTCCAGAACTTTCATGCACTAGAACACCATTGTGACTTAAATAGAGAGTCACGACTAAGCTGCATACATTTTAAATTGGAAGTACTGAATACTGAAATTTCAGCACTCTGAAAAGTGGTAAAACACTGCATCATCACCCAGAATGCAATGCAATTAACAAATAAGGTTTCTATTTTTTTTTCCCCAGAGGGTCTCTCCAAAAGCCTGAATCTGAAGTATCATGTATTTTAGAAATAACAAAAAGAAATGTGCAAGTCTAGTCAGTTGTAACAGTCATTCAGGCATAAGTGAGCACCAAATCAGAGGTCACACAACAAGTACCGCCAGATGCACAGCCAGAACTTACAAATATTGTCAGCCTCTCTCCGTTGTGGGTACGCTTGATCTGGACATCGTGAATTTGACCCAAGGCAAAGTTTTCATTCTTGATAATGAGCTCTTGCCGTTCAAAGCCAAAGTCAAAGACCAGTCTTAAGTGACCTGGGCAAAGAAACAAAGCAGGGAGGAAACAGCTCAAAATTACCATTGTGTGAGTCAAATTTGAATGTGAATAATTTCAACTTGACACACTTGCCAACAAAACAGTGGGGAAAGGAGCAAAACAAGTTCTCATGCTTACTTCTGAGAATGGCAAGACACATGCATGCAGCTGCGATGCTGGCCAGTACAGCAAATGGTACAAAGTTGTTTCTTTGTATTGTGTTTGTGCAAGAAACAGGTACCCTGACTGTGAAAACACTTTCATGGACACCTTTTTTTTTTTTTTTCCAAACAGTATGGACGCCAAATGTTTCCGTTCACATGCATATTCATTGTCATTGCAGCATTCACAATACACTCATACCTCATAATAGCAAAGTTGCATCTTACGCGGAAATGAGTTTGTTATATCCAAAACTTTGTCTTAAAGATTTATTCCTAACACTATATTCATTGCAAGACTGTTCTACACTTGCTTCCTTATAACCAACATTTCGTTATATCCGGGTTTGCTATATCGAGGTTTGAGTGCTCAAACCTCAATTTAACAAACCCAGATATAAATAAATGTTCGTTATAGCACAGCAAATAAAAAATAGTCTAGGAATAGATATAGTGTTTGAAGCATACATTTATAATGAATTTTCGGATATAACGAACTTATTTTCATGCAAGATGCAACTTTGTTATAATGGGGTTTGAGTGCATAACATTTCACTTACCATCCATTCACAAAGTAGCCTGAAGTCATTTGAAGTCAGAAGGACCAAGCTTAGGCATAGTGATCATTACAATGCTGTTTGAACCACTATGCTCGGAGTTATATAGAAATTAATGCGAGCTCAACCTCTAGTAAATTCTGTAGGAGACTCCAGGCTAAAAACAAAGGTATAAGTATGGACTGCAAGCTACACATGCCTGTCTTCAGGCAGTGTCTACAATGCGAAGGATGCAACTATAGCAGCTTTTCGTGTGAAATATACTACTGCTCTTGTCTGAACGGGACTTTTTTCCTTTTTATTAAAGGGGCCCTGCAACACTTTTTGAGCATGGTCAAAAAACGCTGCCGATCGGTAGTAGAGGCTACCAACAACACGCGACACAAATATTATAGTGCAGCACGGGGCCTGGAATGCACAATAAATCATCAAAGTCAGCTAAAAATTGCTTTCTCTTCTCTCGACAAATGATGAAAGATGCTCAAAAATCACTCGCAGAAAGCTCATCTATCAGCCATTGGCTGATATGAACATGGCACGCTCGGTCGTTACAGAGATCACCACGGAAGGCCGTGACTTGTCCACGCGCGCGCGATCACACTGAAAAAGCCGCGCATCCGAAGCAAAAAACAAAAGTGCTCAAGGCCACGGGGTGCCGTATTTTCTTTGCCCCTGCCATCCCTCACTGCTTAGCTTCCACAGCTTTCTTTGTGACAAGAGAAGAGAGAATGCAATTGCAGCATGCAACAAATCTTTATAACTCCACTCACACTGGACGGATTCTGAAAATTTTGCAGCATTGAATTCGTGGTGCAATAAGCTCTTCCAGTGAATTCAATCCATGGTTACTTGAAAAGGTGTTTCAGGGACCCTTTATTAGAAACCTTCATGTGCAGCCCTGAGAAAAGGGGGCTCATCACCAGTCCTCGCTGAAACTCACCACTAGTTGACATCATAAGATTCAGGTACTCTCCGGTGCGCGATGACATTCCGAAGATCATGCCGTGGTGCTCCGTAGTGGTGAAGCCCACACGAATGTACTCCTCCAAGGTGGACAGCGTCGTCTCAAAGTCGTAGCGCACGTAGTTGTCAGATCGCAGGTTGACGCCAATTTCTGCACACAAAGGCCAACAAAACGAGGCAGTTAAAATCTGCAGTTAGTGCCCCAATATCTGGTAACATGGTTTCATGAAGCTCCAGAAAACTTCAAAATCCTTCACAGAACAATCAGTTGAGCGAGTTGATATATTTTTCTCAATACCTCGGTATATGAGCTAGTCAAAATTAGCATTCTGTACAAATATTAATAATACCCTATTTACTTGCGTAATGAGGCACTTTTTTTTTTTTCCAAAAAACCAGAGCCAAATTGGGGATTGCGCCTATTATACGAGGTATTTTTTACAAAAAAATTTTTTGTGATGAGCCGAAAATACGAAATGCAACAAAAAACAGGGTAGCTTACCTTTTACAATAAATATGCGGGTGCACTACTTGTAAACATGCATTTTTATTGCATTTCAGTTGCTTCAATCTAGGTCGGAATCCCTGGTACCATCGTCCAGGTCACTGGCAACTTCCACATCTTGGTCCCACAACTGATCGTCCTCGCTGCTGACCAATGCATTTGCGATTCCCATCTTCTTAAGTCTATTTGTAAAGAGATCACTTGGCAGCAAACGCCATGAGTCCGATATCCAGGAGCACATCAGCTCAACGGACGTCCTCTTAATCTGCCGGTCAGCGTCAGGGCGTGCCCTCCATAGGCCATCCATTTCGTGTACAAGTTGCGCACATCGTCTTTGAACGGTTTATTAATGCAAACATCAAGAGGCTGAAGCACCGAAGTGAGTCCACCCGAAATAATGGCGATCTCAGGGTGCAGCTTCTTGAGTTTCCAACGAACCTTCTCTCCCAAGTGGCCGCGAAAACTATAAAGAACAAGGACGTCGTCCCCAGACAGTCTGCACCCAGTCGACCATTAGATCGGCCGACATTCACCTTTTCTCCTGAGCCTGCACGTGTATTCGGGCTGGGAAGCTGGTCTTCAGCACTGTTTTTCTCTTGAAGATAACGTACGGTGGCAACCTCTGGCCATATGCCGTGACATCCAGCATGACCGTGAAACGCTACTTCTTGACCCCTGTTGTTTTAACGAGCATGCTATGTGCTCCCCTGTCATTGACAATCCTACTTATAAGCATGTCAAAATTTATGGGTGTCTGGTCCGTGTTCCCGATAAGTGAGAAAACGAATTCTCAGTCCCGCCGCAGGCATGTAACGAACTTGTGAAAATCCACTACCTCAATTAAGGAAGAAGACGCTGGCAAAGTGGTGTGCGCCTCCTCAAGCACAGTCTGTAGTGCCGCATGAAGCATGCCATCCATTCACTGCTCGCTTTAAACCTCGCCGGAGCGTTGCCATGCTTCCTGGCTGTGGCTCGCACTTGCGTCTGGATTATTTCATGCGAAACAACGCAGCCGCCATTTTGTAGGTCCTGGACACATTGTAAGATCTCCTCTTCCACAGCAGGAACCTTTCCGGTCTTTGGTCTCCCGAAGGAACATCGCTCCCTATTTGTAGCACGGAGCTTGTCATGCTGCATCCGCCAGTATAGCACACGTACTTCATCAATTTCAAAATGCCTATCGGCAGCACGATTCCCATGTTCAAGTGCGTACTCCACACCTTGTAGCTTGAAACTGGCCGTGTAGCTCATATTTCGGCTCTTCGTCTATGACCAAACGCAACACAGGCTTAGAATTACTAACTCCCAACGAGGTGAGAATGGGCAGCATGACTTGTGAGGGGAGAAAAAAAAGTGGAGCTACGATGACAACAATGCTACAACTCGTGTCAACGTCATTGCATCGTTTTAATTGGCTGTCCTACCCGGCCTCGGAAGTTTCAGCCTTTTTGCTTCAGCCGCTTTGGCGGTAGATGGGGCTATATTCTGCAAGCTGCAAGGCTCGGGATCAGCCGATGCAAAGAGAAAGCCACAAGCTTTGCAGAGCCCTGCACCGCCGGTTCTGCAAAGCTTCGTACTTGTGTGAACGTGGGAAGGCATGGGCAGTTTCGCTGTTAGGTAGCCTACAAGGCCAGTCACGTAGGCTCGCTACGCTGTATGCTTGTGAGCCGCGATGTCTCTACACTCGAAACAGTTGTGAATACTGCTGGCAAAGTGCAGATACTTACTTCAACAACAATACAAAAAGAGAAGGACCGCACCTATTCACTGACTAGAAAAACTAACAAAACGCTCTACTACGGGCAAAGGGGAGGGGCGAAGCAAACTGAGGGGGGTCAGCGTAATAAAGGAAAAAAAAAGGAAGAAAGATAAGATCAACGAATGAGAAACTGCTGCACGTTGGTTCGTGTGACTGCAGCGAATGAAAGGTAGGAGTGCATCTGACGCAGGGGAAAAGCAAATCCCAATTTTGACGATTAGAGTTAGGGGTGCATTTATTATGCGAGAGCATTCATTATGCAAATAAATATGGTAATTGTTAGGGGTTTAACATGCCTAAACCACCATATGATTATGAGAGACGCCATAGTGGAGTGCTCCAGAAATTTCGACCATTTCGAGTTTTTTAGCCTGCATTTAAATCTAAGCACACGGGCTTCAAGCATTTTACCTCCATCGAAAATGCAGCCGCCGCGGCTGGGATTCGATCTCCCGACCTGTGGGTCAGCAGCCGAGTGTCTTAGCCACAACACCAACATGGCAGGGGATTCTATATGAAGTAGTGTTTAATTTATGTAAACGTTTCAGCTTGTCTAGAAGAAAAAGCGCATTTCAAGCTGTTAACCTTGAACTTTCTAGTACACAATGCACCATGAACATTCCCTTAGCCCTGTTGCACACTGCTAATGTGTTAAAGAGACATGCAGGTGGGAAAGGCAGCTCTACCGTCAGCACAGATGGGTCCCTTGAAAGGCGTCCACTGGCAATCACAGGTGTAGCCCGAGTATCCCTCGAGACAGGTTCCACCGTTGAGACACGGGTTGGAGGCACACTTGCCCACACAGCCCAAAGACACTCCGTAAAGACCCGCAGGAGCCCGCAACCTCAGGTTCAGGGGCTCCCCGTTGACCATGAAGCCACGCAGGCAGCCCACATATCCTTCCTTGTAGTCCACACTTGCACCTGCAGGGTCATATCAGGGACAGTGTTTATACTTCATTGGTCAGGTATTTCATGGTATGCGTGCAATGTAGGGCAGTATGCTATTCACCAGGAGTCTTTATGCCACATATAAACTTACACCACAAATCTGTATTCCATTTTGTCCTTGTGAAATGAAACTTTCAAATTCAAATTCCAAAGTTTCAACGAACCTGGAACACTTTTCAAAGTAATCATGGAATGGTTTCATTAAAGGTGTTAATTGCCTCACAAATTGGCGGCCACCAAAATTTTAGAATCTGTCAAGTACAAGCGGCTTTACAAAGAGTTTTCACTTGCTTCAAGCGCTTCCTCTCTCTTTTGATACCAGTGAGCGCACTGAAAGCTACGCAGATGTGGCGGAAGGTTGACAAAAAGGTGGAAAACTGCACATTCTTCAGTGCGTGCTGTGACCTTGAGTACTTTTTGTCTCTTTTTTTCTTTCTTTCTTTCTTTGAATGCGCAGCTTACTTTAATGTGATCGTGAGCGAGCAGACGGCACATGGTGGCATCTGGTTGCAGCAGACGTAACTATGCAGCTCGCAATGCTCAAATCGGTGAACGAATGTGGACTTGGCGTTTATGGTAAGGTAATTTACGTTTTGGCATCATTTGTGAAGAGAAGCGTGTGATCTTTAGATGGCTTTGGGAATTTATTGCAAATTACAGGCAGATTTCTGCGCTATAATGTTTGGCTCATGTGTTCTCAGGAACCTTGATTACCAATCAGCAGCGTTTTTTGACCGTGCTAAGGGAGCTTTGTGGGGCCCCTTTTCAGCATGTCGTTCACAGACAGCCGAACGAAATCATAGTTGTAGCCACTGAGCCGGCAAGGCAGGTACCCCGTAAAAAATGCCAGGCTTTTGCGTTCATTCCCAAATGCTGGCATCAAATACTATATTTTTGCGTGCTTTGAAACATTACCACACCCAAAATAGTTTAGGATCACCTTTACTGAATGAGTGGCCCCAATGAGTCATACAGGCATTCGTGGCTGTTTTACCTCTTGCCATTGTTCGACTTCAACAGAATGATTACCAAATCAAGTATAGCAAGCACAGCATAACTGAAGAAATAGGTCAAGCATGAACAGAAGCACAAGACACAAACAGTTCCTCGTGTTTTCCAGCAGCAAATAGCACAAGAAAACACGAGGACGAAGAGTCAACACAGACGACAAGTGCCATGCCATGTAACTGCTTTTTGTGCGTGCATTTACTTGTGCTGTTTCCTGTCAGTATGAATCAATGACTAGCCCTGTCATCAATTTTTTGTTTTAGTGATTAAGGGGCGATGAGGGTCGAAAAACATGAGATTTCTAAAAAATTACTGATTTTTGGTTTTCACTTGTTTCGATCAGATTAGTACCTCTACTGTTCCGAGAACAAAAATGCCAGGTCTGCACGGTGCTGCAGCACTGTCACAGCGAAAGCTGAAAAAGCAGCTTTTCAGAGCCTTTTCTTAACACTCTGAGTAACTGCTACAAGCACACTGGCTGGGTACCCACTACGCCATAAATTATCATAATTTTTGTGTAGTAGGCTGGCATTCACTATGCGATCCTTCATCACTTCTTCGGTGGTATCCGCTACACACTTGCTGGGAATTTTGTGCAATTTTTTTATGCAGTGGCTGACAATGACAAAGAATTATGCCTGAAGTGGGTATGCACCGCAGTTAATAGGTGAACAAGAGCAAGCTTTTGCAATGGTTTTGGATCACTGAACGACCCACTCTACACGATTTGCATTGTGTGACACCTAGCTGTTTCTTTGATGTTCTAAAACGCTTTATTATTCATATTAACGCAATTCTTTTCCCAACATCAAGCCTTCCTAATGCCAGTGTGAAAATTAGTTACAAGCACAGGTGTGGCTCAGTGGCAGAACACTGGGTTGGCACACAGCGAATCCCATTTGTGTTTCTTATTTGCCAAGTTTTTTTTTTTGTTTTATTTCTTGCGATACTGGTTACGAACACTAGCGCAGCAGCAGACAACTATGGCGCCGCATGTGACACGTGTTCTGATCTCATAACAGCTTTGGCTGTAAAAAAATCTGGGTCGAGAGTTGAGACTCAACTGAAAATGCTTTAAAGTTATGTCTAACAAGCACAAGGTAACTGTTAAAAGGTCGAAAGTGTGCAGTCTTCGAGCACTTTGTTGCTGATAATACGCCACCGCTCGTTCTAGTCGATTGCATGAGGCGAAGAGCCGAGCCTCACTCTTCAAAAAAGCCGGTTTTCACGCTGGCATAATTTTGCCGCATTTTGCGTGCACCGCGGCTGGTTTTTAAATCCTGTGGTACAGTTCAGGGACCGCCATTGGCCGTATGTGCTGCGAAGCCTACATGCACGGTCCTTATCTCATCAAGCAACGCAGCTGAACAACACTTTTCTCGTGTGTTTATCTCCATTATGAATGAAGGAAACCATAACGCGCGCGGTAGCTACGCTGCCAACAAGAAAGATGTTGTGGCGGGGGGCTCTGTAAGAATCGGCTACAAGAAGCTGGTCCGATTTGCAGCGATTCTTGGCTTACGAAAGCCAATGCATTAAAGTCATTCACAGCCATCAGCCAGCAAGTCAGTGATGCAGCAATGGATGCCATCTGTGCCAATCATGTGAGGTCGAGGGAGAACACAGTGAGGGAAGTTGTCGGGGACGACATTGCCTTTATACGACGGTATGTGCCTATACGCAGCCACAAGAGCCACAATGGCATCGGCACTGTTGTGTCCCTCGACACTGGGCACCAAGATGAGGCACTTTTAAATAAGCGCTCTTGCTATACAATCACTTGCATTTCTCAACAATACAATTACCATCATCGTTTGCTGTAGTGGGTAAAAGTACTTACACACATACTGAGAATAGATGGTGAAATTATATGTATTGAAGCAAGGTACACGCTCAGAGGGATACAGAATTAATTTTGACCATCAGACATTCAATGCACATGTAAATCAGAGTACTCAAGTTCTTTTATATGCTTTTGACATTTGAATGCAGTGGCAGCGTCCTGCAAACTAGCTAGTAATCATATGCTAGACCACAGAGAATATCCAATGAGCCACTGGGCACAGTTTAAACAAGTTTGTGTCGGTAATGCTAGGAAACGAAATGCAGAGGGAATTAGTGGTGAATGTACCAATGGCCATGAAAAAGATAAAGCATGCATCCCTATACTTAACCATAGAACAAGGTGCTTATACATGCGCTGTTGAGTAACAGCCTAGTAACAAACGCATAATGATCTATGGGAATTGTGCATTTAATGCCCTCTCCTAATTCTTCACTGCATCTGTGGCCATCCTCATGAGACATCACACTCACCGATTACAAGGTTGCCTGGCAAGTGAAGGGCGTGCGACCGATCGGGTTTCTCACGAACCTCGCCGCTCTGGCTGCCGTCGACAACGATGCGTGCCTCTTTGCGATTGCGCTCAACGTGCACCGAATGCCATTCATTGTTGCTGAGCTTGTAGGACGTCTCCACACTCACTCCCTGCGGACCACCCCCGGCAGTCTCGTACAGCAGCTGAATTTGATCACCTCCTGCACAAAGCGGCCAATAATTCAATGTAAATTGTTCACATGCCTCGCTCCAATGAGGTTTGAAAGAAATAGAACATCCTGCAATGATCATCCTGCAATTTTAGTTTAGAACAAAATAGTTATTTGGGCAAATAACTTCAAATCGAATAGCATGTATCACAAAGAAAAATGAGCACATTTGTCATGAACCAAGTAACCATCACAACGATTTAAAAAATTAAAACAAGGCATGTCCAAATGTCCTTATTTTCAGTTAAAAGGGAAATGTGGATGCAACTTTAAATAGTAGCAGAATTTGACTTTTGGTCGATTGCAAGTGAAAGCCTGTAAAACATGTTTTACTTCAAAACTCGCTATACTTGGAGCATATAAACCGGTATAACAAGGTTTTAAAGTTTAAAAAATGAGGAATGGATGACGAGTGATGTGTTCATTTAAGGGGGGACACGGGTCTTAGAAGGCCAAAAATCGCAAAAAAATCTACTTTTTAAAAGCTGACATTTTCGAAATCTGCACCTATTTTTGCACTTATCTGAGAAGTTTCTAGCTTCTCGCGTCATTATTTCTGGCGCTAAATCAATTTATAACATCCCTATGAGATGAATGTGAGCGCAAATTGACGCTAAAATCGCACTTTTTTCATGCCATACTGTTGCCGTTACACACGAGCTATCGTGTTCATCTTGGTCTCGTTTGGAAGGGTCGTTCTTCATCTTCAATTTCCCGCCACCGCTGGCTCACCTTGCTCATTGGTTTTTTAGCAAAAACGCGTCATCGAGAAGCACTAACGCGCGATTCAATTGGCTGCTTGGGGCACGTGACCAAATTTAGGCATCCGATTGGCCAAGGGGCGCTTTCGGCGTCTGCTTCACCATCGTGACGCGCACGGACATGCGCCATTTTGTCATGGTGTTACTGACTGCTTGCGGCAGTAAAGAAGTTCCGTGCTACAGTAATTTGTGAAGCGGGTGTGGCGGTGGTTCGTTCGCTGTGAACTTCAGAAAGATTCCCGCTATGGCTCAGGACAACGAGGATAACGAACTCGACGTGGTCAACGACGGTCGCCGAGTCACCGGTGTCGGCTTAACTCACGTATGAGCCCGTTGGTTGCCGACAACATTACTGAAAACGGCTGTGTTTTGCTGCCTCATCTGTTAGAGGGCGGCAAGTAAAAAGCAGAAGTGAAGCTACCAGATATATCAATCTTTGTAGCGACGGAACAGAAGTGCAGTCTTACCGCTAAACCCGCCGATGTTGTGGCTCCCCCCGTATGATGAAAGGACCTTGAACTGCGGGACGGGTCGTCAGAGTGGAGTACGCCGTGCGACGACCAACAACAGAGAGTCAATCCGTTTGCAGTGAACATGCTCGCGGCCCTCCCTATGGAGGCTACTGGCAACAGGTAGACTGTTTTTAACAACGTGTTCGCAACGTTGTTGCCATCTTCGCTCGAAAATGCGGCAGTCTTGCGTGAAAAGGAAACTGACACCTCGGCACTCGTGTAGCCTCGAAATTGATGAGCGAGGGAGCAACTTTGGTTCGCGACACTTACGGGTAACTTATTCTGGACTAACCAGAAAACAACGCCGCGTTATTCGACGAATCGTGGATGAGGCACGCACATTTGTCGCACATCACCGCCAGTACAGTCACCGAACTGATAAGCGGCCTCGCGGCAGACGAGCACACGGCGACAACTTGCTAAAGGACTAGAAAAAACGACACGCTCGTACAAACAATCAGTCCTATTACATTCCCGGTGCATATTAACTGACTAAAAGTATGTGTGCCATGATATTTTTTTCTCGGAACGGCGAAATTAAGTTTTAAGAGCATTATTCTCGAAGCACAGATTTTGACCACTTTCTTTTGCTTGTTCGGTAAAAGTGGACCTATGACAACTAGAGCTTTAATTGTTTTTGCACAATGCAGCTAAATGTGCACAAAAAACAATGTTGGGAGCCTATTTTTAATGGGCAGCTTCATTTTTTTTATTTTAATATAAAAATTTCTGTATTTGGTTACATGCAATGAATTTTACTGTGCTGTAATTCGAGGAGTACTTGTTCAATTTTCGATCAGCTTGCAGCATTGCATTCCTTAGGCTTTCTAGCATTCATTTATATGCCAATGGCTATGTAATTATAAGTGCATACATTTTTACAGTTAAAAATGTTAGAATTCTTTGTTTTCTTCATTTTCTCAAAATGGCAATTTTGTACACCCTGCATGAAAATTACAGCAATATATCTGAAACTATTACAGATAGCAGAATATTTTATTTTGCAGCATGAAGCTATATGTTCGGAGCACACAACACAGGAAGCAGATTTTGATTTCTCTTGATGCAAGTTTTTCAAACTAGTCTTTTGTGTGACCACACAATGGCCACATTCAGGGCTGTGAAGTTTAGTGTACTGTAAAGTAAGAAATAATGACTCATCCAAAAAAGTGCTTCTTATGTTGCATGTCTTATGCTTTCTACTGTCAATCCCTATGTTATTTAAAATTTTTGACAGGTGGTTATTTTTCCATTATGGTAAGAACAATAGAAATTGTTATCTTGATTATTTAAATAACTAATGATGCTACAGAAAAAATAACTACATTTTTAGAATCCAGAGAACAAATTAATTAAGCATGCCAACTTTTGTCACACTTGGTTCAAAAATAAATGAGAGAGCCTTAAGAACCACGACCCCCCTAAACTCTATTTGTGAATTTGCAGTAGCGTAGATTTCACCTGAATAGGCATAATCTTGGTACAACATCAATCCACTGCAGCAAAACCTCCTTTCCAGAGAAAATACGCGCAGTTTATACTACAGTCAACTGCCAATTCTTCAGACTCCCTAGGGACCTAAAAATTGTCTGAAAATTGGGCAGTCTGACAAAAAAATTCATGCTTTTTAATTCCACTCAATTGTTCAAATTGCCACTCATGTCCAAAATAGCTTCAATGGCTCCCCATACACTTATAAAGCACTTTGGTGATCACTCAGGCTCGTATGAATACATTCTGTACCTGTTGGGAACCATGCTTACCTATTGGGATGAGCACCACAGATACCGGTTAATCACAAATTATTCACGACTCGCTCGCACAGAGTGTTTGCAAATGAGGGCGTGGAACACTAGTCTGGCTTTCCCAGATTCCTTGCGCACGTAAATAATGCGCTACTGCGTGAAAACAAACTAACAAGGAGTGTAGGCTGCCTTATGCAGCTGATCATTCCTTGTTGTGTGCAACACGTCCTCAACTAAGCTGACTCCGTCACTGTTTGGGTGCTTGCTAGCTGTAGCATACGCACGCGTTTACTGTGAAGGTGTTCTGTACGCCCAGTCAGATCCTGGACGCATACAGGCACGGCGATGCCACTTTCGTTTGCTAAGCGCATCTGTGCGGCAAACAATCTCTGTGCGACTTAACGATCTCACACAAAGCGACAGCACAAATGGCAGTGCATCTGGGTTGTCACTCCCTAAAGCGTGCAGTATACTTACGACTGTGTTCGCCATCACGCACTACTAAGAAGTTAGCTCAAGACGTTTATCATAAAGAACTGTCAGCGATTAAGATGCAACTTTGTTACAATGAGATTTGAGTGTACAGTCAACAGTGTTAAGGAGAAACGTGATCAAAGAAAAAATGAGCTAGTCGTACCAATGAGTACAAGCTTGACGTAGTCGGTCGGTCCCTTGCTGTGCATTATGACCCCGTTCTCTGCAGTCGTCTTGAAGTGGAAGTACACATCCCAGGAGTGACGCAGGTTCAGATGGGGCACCTCAATGGTTGCGTCCGTGAAACGGAATGTCACCACATCATCGAAAAGGGCTGTGGGAAAATACCAAATCATGTATCAAGTCAAGAGTACATTTGATGTGAATCGAGGCTTCATTAAGAAGTGTTCTGATTGGTGAACCTCATGAAAGGGTAGTCAAACACAAGCTTGTAAGATGGTATTAAAGAAGTGCAAAGGCAAATAATAAAGTAATTGCTAAAGGATTATAAGAAAAGACGATGAGATGTTATGAAAAAAAAAAGAAAAAGATTGGGGCCTACCACATTGAAACGCACGCACACTTCCTCGAGTGCAAACCTATTGCACATTAATTGCACAACCATTTCACAATTGCTGAATCTAGAAGCTTCCAATAACAATAAAATCCAATTAGTTTGAGGTGAATTTCGATCAAATGAAGCACCCTGATCTCAACGAAGAGAACCTTGGCCTAACACTACAATAATTGTTTACTTTTTTTTCTCTAAGGCAACTCAGTTATTTCCAAATATATTGCCACATTCATGGGCAGAAATACTGCCTTAATGAGGAATCATGGCCTAACACTACAATAATTGTTTACTTTTTTTTCTCTAAGGCAACTCAGTTATTTCCAAATATATTGCCACATTCATGGGCAGAAATACTGCCTTAATGAGGAATGAACGATTCAGCATGAGACTACATGCTGCAACTTCTATAGGACCGAAGAAGGAATAGCTACATGTGGCATTTTGCCCTCTACACCTTATGCAATGCAGCTAGTCAGAACAGAGGACAGCCCATAACATCAACCGTTCTCTCGGAGCTCTTTCCCCAGTGTATACACATGGACTGCGCTACATGGCAAAACAAGAGAGAGAGAGGGGGGGGGGGGGTATTATCTGCCCCACGAGTGCTTTGAAGACATCGCTGCGATGTAGTCTTTGAAGTCACCCCTGAAGAAGAAACCAAGTCGGTTTCGAAACTTCGGGTTTCTTCAAAACTTTTAGTTGGAGTCTAAATCATCTCCCAAGCTAGTCCCTTTGCAGATGTCAGCACACTCACCGTCTCCTTGGCACTCCAGCGGTCCCAGTGTGTAACGGCCACGCTTTCTGTCCTCCTGCATGGAGGCAGAACCAGTGTCGCCAAAACGTAGCTGCCGCACAGGAAGGTAATCTCGGTCAGTGAGCTCGCCGCCATCCGAGAGCCACTCCTCCAAGCCCGAATCGCAGTTGCACCAGCGCTGGGGGTCACGGCAGGACCCGTACAGGCCACAACGACACTTGCGCGAGCCGGGGATGGAGCCTCCCCAATAGTCCATGCGCTGGTTGCTCCGGCTCACCCACCAGCCATAAGGTGAAAATGTGTCCGGTGTCGTGTCTTGCACTGCGACAAGCAAAACAGGGCACCATCTCTTTCCAACTGTTGTTTACAGCCAGAGCTTACAAGATTTTTTAGATCGAAGCTCTCACTCTTATTCAAAAAAAGAAAGAAAACGCCTTATGCTACGATTTAGGCAAAGCTTTATATACAGTAGACCTCATTAAATGGAACCTGAAGGGACCAGTACAATGTGTACCGTTTAACAGCAGTTTCGTTTACCGAGGGATGAACAGGAGCACGCAATGCGAGAACGAAACCAATCTTGTCAGAAGCATTTGTTCCATTTAAGCAGCAGTTCCGTTGAACAGATTTTCGTTTACTGAGAGTCTACTGTATTTTCAGTGCACTACTCTCCGAGCTGTACAAAAACAGCTGATCCTTTTACCTTCATCAGGACACATGCATTTGATTCCAGAAAGCACTGATTGGATAGAGCACAAGAAACCAGTGAGTTAACACCAATTGTCCATGTTGACTGCTGAGCCATATAGAATAAGGGAGCACCGAAATATGACAGCCTACTTCATGGACTCTTACAGTCTACATAACCTGTGCCTGAGGTTTCATTGCACCATCAAGCACCCAGTTCTTTTTGTCTTTTCGTTATTGTGAGCTTATTCTGAAAACAGGTAGCAGCCCCCCACAGCACATTGAAATACTGTAAGTATGAAAGTGTTTGCAAAGGAAGCTTTGGCTTAATAAGAAGTTGATGCACTACAAACAGCATTCAGGTTATGCAGAAATGTAAGTTATACATAATCTTAACACTCAGTGCCTATACTTCTGAAACATTAAAACTTCTGATATACTACACAGTTCCAATGAATAAATGAAGCCACCCATCCATATTTGCAGAAAATTGCTGTAACAAGAAGAAACAGCAAGTGAGAGATTATTCTCACCAACAAATGGACTTTGTGCCCAGAGTCTTTCACACAAAAAGAAGAATTGTGAAATACTACATAAACACTCCGTGCTTGATTATTATCAATTACAACAGGAATGCTTCCCCGATAAAATCTGCTGGAAGAACTAACAGCCAACTTCCTTTCTTTTGAATTTTAAGCCCTCGGCAGACAAGAAATACAAGTCTGCATGTACAACAAAGAAAAAAAAAAGCTTTTCCTATAGGAAGCCAAAGCAATGCATGGTGGCACTGCGACTCTGGACACGCAGCGCCATCGCTGGTAGAAAAGTAGAAATCGAGGATGTATATTGCGCGTTTTCCCTTCCCGCCAACACCCTGCCGCTCGCTTACGTGCTCGTGCAGAGAGCGCGCTGTGCGTTTGAGTCACCTCACAATGTACCGTCCTTAGTACGACTTTATAAAGATCTCTGAGCTGGACGAGCACTTTAAGAAGTGAATCTAACAAAAGGAGTAAAGCACGTTAGTCAAGTTTATGATGTGGGAGCAGACGACGGAAGACAAGGACGCCCAAGTCCCTGTGAAACGCATTTCTCAGGTTTGTGACGACACCGTGTACGACGTATGCCTCGAGGTAAGTTTCAGTCTGTCGACATGAAGCCATGTACTCTATCGGTGTGCAACGTTGATGTTTATAAAAACCATGTAATTGTTCTTTTGATGTGGTATCCAGCAGTAGCAGACATGTACTGTCATGTGCAAACATTTGGGCATGCGACAAAATAAATAAAAACTAATGTTATACGGTCATGACATTAAAATGTCCGAGAAGTTTTAGAGAAAAGTCCTTGCAGCAGGAGTATGACCTGCTGACCGTGACGAAGTAGCAAGCTGAGCTTTAACCACAGCGAGTCAAGTTGAAAAGCTCGCCTCATGTTTTTGTTGTTGTTGTTTTTTCCGGATCTTTCGTGAACGTGGCTGTGACTTGCTGGGGAACTGATACAGCCTTACACGTGGAGAACGTCCCTAGGTGTTGCCTGCATTGTTGTGGCAGCCCACCACACAACAATACTTCGGACCTTGCCGACGCTTCTGTGGGGCCGCTTCTTTCATTGCAGAAAGGCAACGTCGCACCGCAAGCGTCTCGTTTTAGCGCGCCAAGCTGACGAAACAGCGCCAAAGTTCTTTGCACCAACTCCAGAACCCATTCCGCGCGTGGAGCGCGCACTCCCATTTCGACGAAACCACAGAGCGAAACACACTGACTCGCTTGCGCCGTCTCTTGTGCCTCTGCTCAAATTTTCCGGAGCTCGCCACCAGGGCCAGGCGCGGCGTTGTCGTCGCTCCGCAAACTTGAGGTTTGGTTCCCTATAGCTTATTTGTTGATTTTCAAGGATTGCACGTGTTTGACATTCGCACTTGAGCAGTGAATGCCACATGTGACAGTAACAATTAGCCCTGCTGCTCATCTCCTCAAACAGCTACTCAAACCTATGTCGCATTGTGGCTGCACGAGGGGGAAGAGAAGTGGTACAGCTCAGGTCGAGGCAACTGCTGTTGTGGCCTGAGGGGGGCCAAGTGCCTCTTCTGCACCTCCCTGCCAACACCAGTGAATACCGCAAAAATGTTTAATGATCAAAAGTTGTCTTTTGGTAATAACACATCACTTTAAAGTCAAGCAATGATGACCAGAAAACCTGGCCATAACTGTCAATCAACATTGTACTATGCTTATCATCGGCAACTGACGATTTGTGGTGCGAGGAAATAGCGCAAAAGTGGTTTGTCGGCTGTCCCCTTCAAGAAAACCTTCAACAGGATTTGTGCCCCTTACCACTTGTGTCAAACAGACGTGCATTGAAGCACTCGTAGGTGAGCCGTTGCCGGCAAACCGTCGACCGGTTCACGAGATGGACCATCTGCTCCATGGGGGCATCATACACGATGTCCTGGATGAAGCTGCCCGGTTCCCGGTAACCCTTGACATCGGTGGTCATCTCGTTCTTGTGGTGCACCAGTGTGTCACTGCGGTTGTCCGCTGTGTGAAAAATATAACCACACACGGAAGTGACATAACGGCCAGACCACTCAAATTGGTGTTCTAATGCAGCAAATGAAACGAAGCCCTATCACTGCTAAGAAAGGAACAAACTTGTTTTGATTTTCTGAGACTTTTAGGAACGTTTCACAGCTAATGTACTTCTATATGCCAATTTTAAATATGTAATTAATTTTCTACAATGGTACATAGCTTTTAAAATATTAAATATTTCCAATTTTGTTAGCCGTGTTACTTTAGATCACAGTAGTCTTTTTAATGTGAAGCTAAATGCATGTGCATCTTCACATGCCACCCCCATTGAATTAGGGCCACCGCAGCCAGAGATCAAACACACACACTAAAGCATGACAAGAAAAAAATAAATATATGTCATTTGAACAAAGGGGAAAAAAAGCAGGTTTAAAACAAGTAACAATTAGTATTTTAATGGGGGACGTGGCTCTCGTTAGCAACTTTCTTATTTCTTCATGAATTTTGATGAAAGGTAACACAGTTGTTGGAAATGTTTTTAGTGCTTCTATTGCAATTTTATGAACATATATTTACAAATTTTTTATTCACAATTTATTTCCCCTTCTGGTCCTGTTCAGACTCTCACTCGCTTAAAAAATGTCGCCCCCGTGTTCCCACATGGGGGGGGGGGGACTTGAGTAAATGCGTCGCGCAGTGGTGGGGGTGTCACGTGAATATTGCGTAATTGGGTGTGGTTTGGAAATGCCTAATTGTTATTTCATCTTTATTCTTCATATTTATTCAACGAAGGAGAAGTGCTGCTTTCAATAAGTGGTGGGACGCTGATGTTGGGTTGTGCCCCAGAATTGGTAGAAAGTACTGTTGCTTCCATCGCATCTACTCAAGTCAAGCGAAAGCCAAGTAAGGACGCCCTTGACTGAATTCCGTGACATATATGGGGTGGCCAATAAATGGTTGTGCAGGGCGAGCAGTAGGTTTTTTACTAGCAGACTCGCCTTGCGAGGCGAGAGAGGGAGGAGAGCGACAGTTGGCACGAGACAAGGATGCGCAGTGGGGGTGTAGACGCCACTGCCAACGCCGGATTCGCGAGTAGGTGTGACTAAAAAATGCTTAGCATTTAAAAACACAACATGAAACCCATTCAAAGCACTACACATTATAAGATGTCTGATAGAGTATGACAATCACATTTTTTATTTGCAACAGAATTTTTTTCCTCATTTTTCATGAGGTTATTGAGTAACGGGCATTGAGGCTATGTGCAGCATGTCCAATAGCTAATGGTCAAAAAGCCATACTGAAAAAGAAATACTGTCATGCCCTGAACTGTACTTCAAAGAACATTAAACAAAAAATCGAACTAAAATAGACGAAGCAGTTGCCATGATATCAGAGGAACAAGCGAAGCAGGAGGCAAGAAAAATAGTTAGCGACTTTGGATATTGTAGCAATAATATTCGTTCATCAAAAGCACGGGGTCATGATCTTTGGAGTCCTTTTCAAAGTACAGTTCCTTAACTGCACTCCCTTTAGTTTGAGGTGCCTTGCTTCCCTAAAACACAAGAAAGAATATGAGCTCCGGTCTGTTTTATGATGCCAGACTTCTTGCACATGTGGTCTTTCATTTGTTGTGCCTTTGTTCACTTTCCCTTTTCATAAAACCTTTTCTGTTCTACAAATAAAATGTTGCATGGATATTAAAATAAGTTTTTCGTACGAAGTGGTGTAACCGACACGACATAAAGCAAGAATTTATAATGTGATTGGGCCATATCATCATCATCATCATCATCAGCCTGACTACGTCCACTGCAGGACAAATTCCTCTCCCATGTTCCGCCAGTTAACCCGGTCCTGTGCTTGCTGCTGCCAATTTATACCTGCAAACTTCTTAATCTCATCTGCCCACCTAACCTTCTGTCTCCCCCTAACCCGCTTGCCTTCTTTGGGAATCCAGTTAGTTACCCTTAATGACCAGCAGTTATCCTGTCTACGCGCTACATGCCCGGCCCATGTCCATTTCTTCTTCTTGATTTCAACTATGATATTCTTAACCCCCATTTGTTCCCTAATCCCCTCTGCTCTCTTCTTGTCTCTTAAGGTTACACCTACCATTTTTATTTCCATTGCTCGCAGCGTCGTCATCATTTTAAGCTGAACCCTCTTTGTAAGTCTCCAGGTTTCTGCTCCGTAGCTAAGTACCGGCAAGATACAGCTGTTATATACCTTCCTCTTGAGGGATAGTGGCAATCTACCTGTCATAATTTGAGAGTGCTTGCCAAATGTGCTCCACCCCATTCTTATTCTTCTATTTACTTCAGTCTCGTGATTCGGCTCTGCGGTTATTACCTGTCCTAAGTAGACATAGTCTTTTACAATTCGAAGTGCACTATTACCTATCTCGAAGCACTGCTCTTTTCCGAGGCTGTTGTACATTACTTTCGTTTTCTGCAGATTAATTTTAAGACCCACCTTTCTGCTCTCCTTGTCTAACTCCATAATCATGAGTTGCAATTCGTCCCTTAGTTACTCAGCAATGCAATGTCATCGACGAAGCGCAGGTTACTAAGGTACTCTACATTAACTCTTATCCCTAACTGCTCCCATTCTAGGCCTCTAAAAAACTCCTGTAAGCACGCGGTAAATAGCATTGGAGAGATTGTATCCCCCTGCCTTACACCCTTCTTGATTGGTATTCTGTTGCTTTCTTAATGAAGCACTATGGTAGCACTTGATCCCCTTTCCAGGATGTTTATATATGCTTTGTCGACGTGCTGATTCCATATTGCAAGCTTTATTGTATTGATGCTATCACTAACATAATTAGTTAGCACTCTTGATTGCATTTGATCATTGAATCATTTTTATTGGACACTAAAAAAGAATTGCTCTCATCGTGACCGCCTATCGCTTCCTCCCAAATGAGAGGCTGTTATTACCAAGGCATTGGTGAAATAGGAGTTCGAGTAGCTTATTTAGGATGCAAATTGGGCACATATTTACTCATCTCCGTGCTTCTCCCAAGCTAATTTGTAAACCTCGCCCATCATGTGCTTCATCATTCATTGTAGTTCTATGACGTCTTAGTTGTTTTGAAGATTCATGAGAGCTTGTGGCTATACCAAGGCGGCTCCAAGCGCATTTCATATTGCATCATCTGTGCTTTATTTCACATCAAAATGCTCGGCCACATAGTCGACGAAGTTGGCACGCGATAAGCTAGCTGACGGAATTCGATGACAATGCAAAATATAGGGATATGCGTTTAGGCGCAGCGATGACCGATCGGCGTGCAACGTGTTCAGCCTTGCTTTTGGGCGCTGACACGCGACCACTGCGCGATGAGCTTGGCTGAGTGGCCCACAGTCGATGGGTAATATGCCCAATCATAGTTTCAAGGCACCTTGGGGGGATATTCGTTGCTTGCGACGAAGCACACTGCAGCTTGTTCGCTAGAGCGATGTCTTTACCCACAGTTTACATTCCTCACGTATCCATGCCTTGAGTGAAGCTGGCTAGGCCTAGCCACCGTAGCCACGACTCCGAACAGTAAGTTCGGCCGTGAAACGCACCGTTCCAAAGACATCGTGTTTGATCGCGAGTACAAAGAGAGGTTCCAATGGTCTTAATCAGGAAGTCCAGAAGTGCTGATAAAGCAGTACCTATTATCAGTCACCGCGGGCTTGTGGGTCGGTGTTGCACATACGTCTGCAATATTTGCAATGAACGTGGCATTATCGCACCCTCGTGATTGAGCTTCTGCTAGCAGCGGTATGACATGTCACACACTCCAACACAATTCTAAACGAATATCTATTAGTGCCTACAGAATGAGTGCGCGCGAGCCACTAAATGCCGTGATTTTTGACAGCCTTGACCTCGCGACACACCCACGTCCGAGCAGCAGACGCCCTCCATATTCGGCAAATGGCGAGGCGTGCTGAAGTAACAGGGCGAACGTGGCCAATCGGAGGCCTCGAGACGACCTTCGGACATTAGCTTTTTGCTCCCTTCTTTTCAAATAGAAGAACCAGCTAAGGCGGGGAATATGAAAATGAAAAACACTTTTTTCAATGAGTCCAAAGCAACAGCGCCCAATCGCTCTGTTGCGGAGTTATGATTTTTGAAAATCAGTGTTTTTTCGCAATTCCGCGATAATTCTCGCCCCCTTGGCAGGCGCAAAAAATTTTTAAAAGCACTTCTAGGCTGTTTTCAGTGAAGATATTGTGGAATTTGATAGAAGAAGGGCTTCAGAAACTGAAAATAAAGATTTTCAAAAACTCGATTTTCTTTTGGCCATTTTTCCCAATACGTAAACCGTGAATTTGTTGATGGGGTAGTTTTCACCTCTTGCTCAGCCCTTTAGCCAACAAAACGGGTCGCTGAGACACGAGCTGGTTTGTAATGTTAAACTGCAGAGTGCAAATACAGGACATAGAAGAACACACACAGCACAGGACAGGCGCTTGTCCTATGCTGCGTGTGTGCTCTCTTTATGTCCGGCATCGAATTTGAGCTCTACAGTTGAGGTGCTACTTCTCTAGTGAGCTCTATAGAAGTAGCACCTAGCAGGTGAGTCGCTACTACTGAAAGCAGATTGTTACTCACGATGGAAGATACATTCAACAGGAAACGGTGTGAGCGGCCCACTGCCATCCACATCAATGAGAATGTTAGCCATTGTTTCGTCAGGCTTCTTCTTCATGTGATAGGCCTCGCATGAGAGCGGGTGCAGTGCTGTATGGAAGAACAAGCAAGAACACAACGTGATGACGCTATCACTGCCCTGTTGCAAAGACATACTAGCTATACAATGTACAATGTAGTTCACTTCTAACAAGAACAGCTATTCAGTAGTATTTGGATGTCAATTACTGCCCATTGTTCACATTTATAAATGTGCCATATTTACTCGATTGTAACTGGACCATGACTGCCACGCATGGGGTGACTTTTCATAGCATCCAGGAAGTAAACATAGTTACCGTATTTACTCGCGTAATGAACGCACTTTTTTTCTTGAAAACTCAGAACCAAGTTAAGAGTGTGTTTATTATGTGGTGCAAATTTTGTAAAAGCTCTTTCGAGATGAGCAAAAAATTTGGTAATGCAAAAAAATGTAAGCCATAATAAAGTTCGATTACTTAGCCTTGATATACGTGTTTTCAGTTTGGAAACGGTGTACGTTTCCATAACCTGTACAAAGAAGCTGTTTGGAAACAGCTTATTCGTTGCACTTCACTCATCTTCACTGGTTGATGGCGCTATCTTCTGCAAGCTGTTCTCACGCCGCCCGCGCACACCATAAAAGCGTTTCGCGGCTATCTTTTCTTGCAATCATTTAACTGGAACAGAGGTATCTGCTGTGATGTCGAGGGGCGCCCAGAAGCGTGCACTACGATGCACTTTGCCAACCTCGTGCGTCAAGCACATGGCCAATTCAAATTGGAAAAAAAATTCTAGTGAAATTGTAACAGCTTAGAAAAGCCAACAAATATAAGTGCTGACGAAGACCGCTTACAGACATGGCATACTGCTCCAGCATAACCGGTGTCCGTGCAATTGCACACAAACTCGATATAGTCCTGCTTGCAACACCGCCGTGCTCACATGGGTTCGGATGGCAGCTGCACATATGAACGGCACATAAATGTCAGCTTTCACACAGATGTCCAAAACGTTTGTGTAGAAAGAGCATGTAAAGTACCACAGGCACTTTAGAGGTACTTTACATGAGCATGTATCGCTGGCAAAGAGCATAGTCAGGATCAGCCAACCACACACAAGATCAAGGCACTATCCCAACCACCATCGTACTGTTGCTATAGGTAAATCCACATCAATCCATTTGTTTTATCCACTTTCACTACAATGCAACAAAAGTTAACTAGTAGTCTGCACTAGCAAAATGACTGCACGCTTCCTCACAAGACTTGTCAGACTGGTGCTTCCCAAGCTGACAACCTCGTTGCTACATATGTATAGGTTGGAGGTGATGTCAATTAAAACTACTCACAGAAGTCACATGAAATGATGCTGCGATTCAACGTGTAAACTAAAGAGTGCTGGGTATGCAGATAAGGGATGGCATGATCAATCGCATAGCAGCCTTTACAGTTCAATGGCTCAAGTTGTACCAGCATTAAAGTGTAGCCAGTAAATGAAACTAGCAATAGTAATCTTCACTGATTTCGGTTTTGATGAGGCACTGGTGATACTGCTGTTGGCCACACTGGCAATGTGCCAAAGCTACAGAAAAAGAAAATATTCCTGGTCGACTTGGTGGCCAGAATAGCATAAAGTTCCAAAGTATAAGTTTGAATTATTGCGTGGTACACCGCGAAAAAATCCAAAACTTCAGCTGTCATTCGAATATAGGTCAAAAGGGGCCAGTGGCAATGCTGCAGAGCTGTCTTAATAAGAATGTCTGCATGGTTGATTTACAGCTGTATTGGGAACTCCAATGTTAAAGCATTCTGTTATTTAGAATATCCATACTTGATTTGAGCCCTAGAAATTCAGCAACTTCACACACCTAAAAGCCATCATTGTTACCAATCAAAAAAAAAGCAATGCAATTCTCTTAACCTCTCACGATACCTTAGGACAAGGACTGCCTTTTGCATTTACATAACACTATAAGAAAAAAAAAAAGTTTGCAATGAAACACTGGCTTGCATGTTAGCCAAGCAAGCAAGATTTTTCAACTGCTTTCTAGCTCGCTAAAAGAACACGTTTCATACAAAGAAGAGAAATTGAGCCACACATACCGGTCCACCATTTGGCAGGCGTCGCGGAGAAGTTGCCCTTGCACTTGGTTGGGTGGAAGGGTGAGCACGTTGATGTAACGACCCTCGATGTACAGGTAGCGCATACAACCAATGAAGCCTTGCATGCCATACACACCACCTGCACAACAAGCAGTAGTGCCGCCTCAGTCTTCAAGAACTCGTCTCTTGCAGAGCCATTAACGGGGCCCTGGAACTCTTTTTCAAGTAGCCACGGGAAGGATTCAATAAAGAAGCTTGTTGCCTCAAGAATTCACCACAAAAATTTTTAGAATCCGTCCGGTACGAGCGGAGTTACAAAGATTTGTCAGAATAGAGTTTCTCACAAAAGTACCTAGAGAAAAATCTGGCGCCATTGCCTATGCGAATTTCTTAAGGGGCCTCGTTGAAGCACTGGAAATGATGGTACATCTGTCTGCGAGGCTTTTGTTGGCCAGCATTAAGCGAGCCTTCAGCTCAAAAGCAGATACGACTGCACAAATAAAGCTTCTCTAAAACAAAACTCTCATAAGCGGATATCGGTCATGTGCATTATAATCTAAAATAAAAGTCCACTCACTTTGACGGCACAACCAAACGGCGAAAGAAAGAAACAGACGACATAAAATGACAAAGAAAATGCTGGCTTTGTCGTCTGCCCGCCAAGTATAGCGGCCGTTGGTTACTTTTTATGCTTCGTAAAATTGAACATCGAAGCAGAAGTTTTGAGTGTTAAATAAAACCTATTTGTGTGGAATGACAAGACATAAATAGCTTATCACGTGCTATTTTAGTAAGAAATCAACCATTTTAACGTGACGCCAGTCGAGTCTTCGAGATATACAAATGCGAGTCAAGTTCGAAGCTCACATACTCTGGCATTCCCTTGCATCCAGCAGCTCACTAGCACCAGATTTCCCTCAAGGTAATATCGTGAGAAACTCTACGTTTGTCGCACGCTGCAATTTCATTCTGTCTTCTCTTGTCTCGACGAAAGCACTGGATGCTAAGCAGGGAGGGATGGCCCGAGGAAAGAAGATAAGTCACATGCACCTTGAGCACTTCTCTCTTTGTTTTTCTTTGAATACGCGACTTTTCAGTGCAATCATGCATGCACGTGTTGACATGTCGTGGCCTCCTGCAGAAGACCCAGTAATGACAGAGTGTTCCATGTTCAAATCAGCCAATGGCTATGACGAGCAATTTTTGTTACTGACGAGCAATAGCTGTATCAATGATGAGCAATAACGCAGCATTTTAGCACTAGATACATGTTTAGAATAGCCCTGCTTTCAGTTACCCCTTTTTTAATTTGTGCATTTCTTTTTAAATTTTTGCACTGAAATTAAATAAAATGAAAACCTGTTTATATTGAATTGGAGGGGGGGATTCGTCAATTTCATTATATCCAGATTTAACACTATTTGTATTTCTCTGGCATGAAAGTAAGAGACCTTTCATGCAGATAGCATGCACAAAGTATCCTTTATTGTACCGGTCACCTCTTACCTTAGGGAAATACATAATGCAAAAGAAGCATGCTGGAATGATTAATGCTTTTGTTATAACTGCTGGGAAATGCTGACACTAATCAAAGGAATATTCAGGATGGGTGCAGCTTACCGAAGTTAGTAAGCCCGTCTTTTCATTTAGACATGAAAATTTTCACAGCTGTGAGCACTAAGACCAAAGTACAAAGACGTTTTAACCTGTTACTTTAGGCACTGGCTATATCAGCGAATACAAAGCTACGACACAATAAAATGTAGGTAGGTTAGAGCAGCTTTGCCGTAAATGACCAAAATGTGGCTTGAAATGCATAGCTTATTCTGAAAAATGGGTAACATCAACACGGAATCCTTTTTTGATCGTGTACTACCAATTTATGCATCAAGATAGATAGTTACAAGGCATCACAGCCTTGTTCTGTAACACAGGTAATCTTGTGGTCGCAAATTTCACTGCAATAGCACTGAACTCACTAGAAAAATATTGTGCGAGATTTTTGAAAAGCTGGAGCAATAAATAGCGGCATGTGCTCAAAGTACAGAAAGTGTTCAAAAGAACTCGCAAACAGATGCTGGGACGTACCTCCGACTAAGTACTCGCTGCCAGTCTCCATGGAGAAGAGACGCGTGGTTATGCTGGGCACACCGTCCAAGCGCACCTCGATACGGTTGGTTTGCAGGGCCAGTGTCAGACTGTGCCATTGGCCGTCGTTGAGGACATCTGCAGAAAAGCAAATAGGCACAAGCTCCATGCTGGATGCTCACTTCGTGTTGAATATTCGGTTTTACACAAAGCGAAAAGGAAAAGTTCATACGCTGCATGCTTGTTCAACAGCACCACCATTTCACAAGTGTGATTAGAGCGAGGCGCCGTGCGAGAAATTCAACAAAAAAATGAGCAATCAAGTTCTCATCAGCATCATAAATTTGAGGAATCAAATTTTGGGGGAGCAATATAAAGCAGATTGTTCAAGAACTCCCGCCACGTTGTGGACGTAGCGCTCAAAACACAACTGCTGCTCTTCGCCACTAGCCGTGCTATCGTGAATGACAACCACAGCTGTGGTTGAGCTGCTGCTATGGAAAAGTCAACTGACTATGTCCTTTTCGGCATACAGTCCCTGACTGACAATAAGGACATGCTGAATTACCAGGCTCTTTTATGATGTCACCAGCAAAGCGACAACACAATCTTTAATGATGCTGGTGGCAAATATGATGACTAATGAAATCCAGATGATCTCACACCGCCTGCAGCTGAATTGGGGAGTAACCCAGGAAGTTCTGCCAGCATTGGTTCTGTGCTTCCCGCACATCTTCACTCAAATGCCACAGTGAAGTTCATTAATATGTACAAGGCATAGGCTTGTGCAAATGTTTGAATACTTTGAATATTCAAATAAATATAACAGTATTCTAATTCGCTTCAATTTCAATTTATATTATTGGAATTCCGAAGATTCGAAATGAACGAATAAATGCGTATATTAATTCGCGTGTGACCCCCTCAAAAGTTTACAGTAGTTTTACAGCAGCGGAGAAGTGCTAAACCACGAAAGCACCTACTCAAATGTATATTAATTCACATGCAGCTTTTCTGTAGAGGTGGTTTCACTGCGGTGAAGATGATTTCCGAAAATACCTGTTTATTGAAAATCCGCACTGCCGCGAAGCCCCACTTCAAGGTTAATTGAACACATCATCATCACATCGATTCATCATTTTTTACGTTTAAAATCTTGTTATATCGGCTTATATGCTCTACATAAAGTAAATATTGAAACTTAACATATTGCTATGGGGCGCCACAAATGAACATTCTAGAAAAGAGGACGATGTTTAGCGCGAGCTCGTGCAGACCGGGCTCCATATTGTATGCCTGCCTGTTTACCAAAAGTAAAGGCATTTTTCAGACGCCTTCTCCCCGTAACATTATTTCACAGGCTATCACCAGCATTTGACCAAATGTCATATCCTGCAATTATTCAAAGTTGTTTCCCCTTCCCTTAAACTAAAAAAAAATGATATTAGCACATGCCTTGTTTGAATATAAAAAATACCTATTGTGCAGCTTAGATCTCGACGAATATGCCCCTTTTCCTTTATAACATGTGATATATATTATTCGAATTCAATTCAAAATTATTTGAACAAAATCACTATTCGCACAAGCCTAACAAGACTGAAACAAAAGTCAACAATACACTAAGCAAAAGCCTGCAATCAGCATGTACAAATCTAGATCTTGATGTGCCCCAGTGCGTACAGCAACGCGGCCAGAACAACAAGTAAGATGACTTAGCACATGCTACCTGAAATGTTCCCTACAATGTTTCTTTTTTTTTTTTCCCCACAGTAGTAAGAAAATGATGCCCCTCACACGAACATAAAATTAAAAAATTGGCCCCGTATCTGCATTTATTCTGCAAATGTCGTCGAAAGACGATAGCCTTGCGTGTTGAGAGAGTGAACAAAACATTAATTTGATGTTCTGCTCAAGAAAATCAGTGAATGGTATTTTGGAGGCGCTGCGTTAAGAGTGCCTCGAGCGTGTAGCGGAGGCGAACGAGTGCATCAAGTCACGTCACACGTGAGACATGAGTGCCATCTGGCAGTTTTTTAAAAAAACAAAGCGCGTAGCTCTGAGACGGGTGTGCGCGCCTGTCTCAGAGGTGATAAAGTGTAGAACGCAAGGCGACGAATAGGTGCCACCACCGTCTCATTTTAGCAAAGCGTTGGAAACACTCGCTTTTCCGTACAAGCGTTGCATGATCAGCACAGCGTGGTAAGCGCTACGGTCCTTAAAATTACTTATGTATGCCTTTTCAAGTAAAAAGACGAATATGCAGAATTTATACCTGTTGTTATGGTGCCTTAAATATGCACAATAATTGCTTTTTTAATTGACAATAGCACATGTATGAACGCTGATTCTTGAGCAACATAGGTGGGCGCTGCGGGTGGGGTCGGCTGTTTCGAATACCCGATGCTGTTAAAAGTGGACAAACAGACAAATGTACCGATAGACAGAAAACCCAAAATTTTTGCGTCAAAGGTCCCCACGAAAGACTATCGTCTCTAAAACTTGGTACAGGTGTGCACAGGTGCACACCTGAATGCACAAGTGACCCATTCTGTTATGTATTGTGTGAAGGAGCAGCTTCACTTCACTGAAACATGGGGCCCGTTATATGCCGACCATGTTGAGCGATCAGTCTGCGTTACACTGGCTAGACTAAGTGGTGCGTTTGCTGTAACACGCACACATGTTTTGCAGCAGACCACAGTGACTCTGAACACGCCAAGCATGCATCTGTGTATTCAACTGCTAGCGAACACGCTCGTACCAAGAAGAAAAAAGATCGGCAACACTTACGATCAAATGGCTTGAGGAGAACCACTGGAGTTTTCTTGCCCTGAAGCTCGACTCGAATGCGTCCCATATCCAAGTACATCTGTGAGGAAACCACACTAGTGAGTCCATTCACCCATTCTGACGAACACGTGAAACCTTCAAACAGGCTCTTTCCTGAGGATCTATCTGTATAGGTCGCTGCTGAAGCTTTGTCCTGCCGTTGGGTGGGACCGACAACTTTCCCTTCCATTATTCCACCACGAGGAAGCGAACAAGGACATGTCTATGATTCCAATCAATGGCTTCTGATTCCACAATTACGACAGTGTCAGTGCCGTTGTTATAAATAAACACAAGATTGAGCAAGCTTGGTAAATCAGGATGAGAAATATGAAATATTTGCAGCTCTGGACATCTACCGCTGTGAACGTTTTACGACACAAACAAATGACCACAAAAAGGCAACTGCTGAGCCACCACGTTTAAAACATGAATGCACATGGATGCAGTTTTCTTTTCCCTCACCCTCACAAGAATGTCCTTTTATTAGTGATTCAAGTAACGTAGCCCTTGCATTTAATTATGATAGTTGGTAATCACAGAGACAATCATATATCTCTTTGGGTTTTTATAGTAGAATCTCGTTGATACGTTTTTGAAAAAAAAAATGCGGAAAATGTATGATCCGGAAAAACATACGATCCGAATCCCGTAATAACCGAGGCTGACAAGCCCATGCCGAGGTGCACAGGCAAAAACCGTCTATATCTCAAGAAAAAAACATAGAGTGATTCTTTGATTTTTAAACATTGCCAGCCAGAAATCAGCCAGCTAGTTCCTGTCCTGACACAAAGAAACATTGTGGTCATGCGTGTTCACATCTCGAAATAACCCAATTACTGCACAATTATATGCTGGGACAATCAGCGTGAACATAAAGAAACATGACTAACGTGACAGCAAACAAAACTTAGTGCTGCATGAGCATCGGTCCTTTCTTCATTACTGCTTAGAAATTTGGTGCTAGGCCTGCCGAAGAGCGGAAGTGATATTCTCGATCATATGCATTTGGGATACGATCACAAACATTTACCAGATCGTGTGTGGCTCTCCTCGTGCCTGAAGAAAACGGCCCCCCCCACTAGCATCTTAACAAGCTGAAATCTACAGTGTGCACGTAACAATTGAAGTACAACACAATATACAAAATTTCGCGAAAGTGACAAGCGTCCCTGAAAGCGACATCTGCTCATGGCTGTCATGTATTATGTCGCACACACGCGCTGATCAGTTTGGCACGTGGCGGTATGTTCGCTACTATTTGTAATCACACAATCACGCATGGTGGAATGAGCTACAGCAGGAACAGCAGGCATAATGGCAATCGAAGGTTAAGTTTCCAAGTACCAGCATTGCAATCCGTCGAGTCCTCACAAAGATGGCGGCGAGCGTGCATCTGGCGTCTGATAGGCAGAAATCTGTCAGATATATTCCAGAACAAATTTGTCTAGACAGGTTCCGACAATCTCGTGATAGGCAGGGTGCCTCGCCCAATGGGCGGAGCAACCCTAAAACAAATGCACTCCGAAGAAAAGTCTACAATGGCAGCATTGCTATGATTACATGCCACAGCGTGTTGTGCAACAGCGGCCTTTGCGCTTCCATTTTTTTGTGCCGCATTGTTAGCTATGCAGTATTCCCTCCAATGTTATTGTAACCATGGGGTCTGAACAAAAGTGTGGAAGGAATGTACATCTGTGTATAAATGAAGTATTGCAATGCTCAGTGAAATCATCCCATGTGCTACACAAAAGGCTTTTTTTTTCTTAAAGGGCCACTCACCAGGTTTGACAATTTTGAGCTGACAAGCGCAATGCGTAGACGAGGCGTTCATGATCACGTCTGCCAAAATTTGCAACGCTGCGCACCGCGGAAATGGGTCCAATCTCAAGATGAAAGCTGCTCCCCCTCCCCTCTGCCAGCACACGGTAGAGAATGAGGGCATGACGTGGGCGTAGGAATGGCCCTACGTATACGGCAATGCGGTGACGTTGGTCCTCTACAAAGACAACTCTACTCCGACGTTGTCAACAGTATACCACGTGACATGGCAAAAATTATTTAACACAACATGTGTAGTTTATGTATTTGTTGCTTTAAGAGATGAATAAAACATAATAAATAATGAGACGCAATAAAAAATTGGGCGCGTTTTTCTTACATTTTTTCCCGTGAAATGCTACGAAATACGGGGCTAATGTGCCAGTGTTTCGCATGCGTTTGGGTCCCCGCAGTCAGCACATTGAGCAGACGACCGCCGTGAAACGCTCCTACGTGTTCGCGTACTCATTGTGCTCATTTACTCTATCGCGTCCAAGCCAGCGTTTCCAAGCCATCCCGCAGAAACAGGCAGAAGGCCACAAAATAACGCTGGTCAACGAAGCAACGCTGCTCGTGTGCTCGGAGGCTGGGCTTGTTCGGCACGTCATGCACACGTCACCTCTTGGTCGGATGCCGGAGTGGGTGGGGAAGAGATTTGGCTTGCGAAGGCTACGCGGAGGAGCGGCAAGGGTTTTGAGTTTGCCTCCTCTCACCCTCGTTTCGCGCCACTTCAAAAAACCCATTTTCTCCGCTTGTAATGAACCAATTCGAAAAATTTTTGTGGCAAAACGTTTCTCATCGGACACCCAACAACTTCCACTGTCTAACTAAATTTCGGTATGGGGCCTGGTGAGTGGCCCTTTAAAGTCGTTTGAGGATTTTAATGGCCAGCATGGCCATCAAAATTCTGATTTTTTTTGCCCCGCGTAATAAACGCACCCCCTACATTCATCCGCTGCAGTCCCGCTAACCAACGCCTGGCGCCGCCTCACTTGTTGTATTTCTTCCATTTTTTTATTACTTTGCTGACCCCCCTCAACCACCTCGGCTCGCTCCCCCCCCCCCCTTCGCGCGTTGCTGCGTGCCTGTTGCTTTTCTTTCTATCTGTGGGCAGTACGTCCCCCATTTTGTCTGTGAGCCACAGCAAAGCTCCCGAGCCAAGCCCTGCGAGTGTAGAGACATCCCAGCTGATAAGCACACAGTGAGAGAAGGTCACAAAACTGCCCACGCCAACAAATGTAGGTCGCTTCCTGCCACACACACCCCCCCCCCCCCCCCTTCTTTTTTAGCCTACTTTCTTTTTTTTTCACTCTAACTGTCCCTTCATTCTCTGTTCCCTCAAAAGCGGTATCAATTGAGGTGTCCTTCACATGAGAGACAGTTATCATGCACTCCACACTCATTTTTCTTATCTTTCCATCTTTTTTTAAAGAATCACACCCCTCCCCAAAAGAAAAGCCCAACCACGTGCACGCAAGTTTCGGGCGACGACGACACGATTGCTATGGCGAAGAGTCATTTGTCGCTATCACGTAGCAGGTTTCTGGAAAAGCAGAAAAAAACGCTTGTCGTCCAGAAAAGATAGTGACGATTTCTGCAACATGGTAGCACCCCCTGATTCTCGCTTCGCTTGTTATCCATGCGTAGAGGCACTTCTCATGTAGAAGCGAGGCGGCGGCCATATTTTGTCGTTAATGTTGTTATCGACATTTTTTTTTATGCTTCAGGGGTAGCTTGCTGCAATGTTGGTTACTTGCTACCGCGACAATGTTAACGGCGCCGTCACGGTCACCGCGCGAGGTTGCCACGAAGTTGGCAAAGTGCGTCGTAGCGTCACGGCGCACGCTTTTGGACCCTTTCGAGATCACAGCAGATATCACTGTTGCGGTCCTGGCACATGTCAGGAGATGCAAATTTGTAGCTAGTGGTTAATGAGTAGTACGTTTAGTGCATAGTTTTGCCGCCGTTTCCGACCCCTACGCATTAATGGGGTTTCACTGTAATTGGAACGTTTTACACACAGCTCTATGGGCTTATTTTTAGTTTTCACAATCGCGGGTGTAAAAGCCAAGTACTCGTACTAAGTGGGAACGTATCAACCAGGTTCTACTGTATACCTGTGTTCTAATCACCAAAGAGCGCACCCGCCTAACAATCTCAACCAGCTGTATCTCGCACGTGAAAGCGAATATGACTGTAGGTAAAACCAGCACACTCACCTTGACGTAGCCTTCGATGGAGAACTTATTGTACAGCAACAGCCCTCGCTCGTTGAAGGTTCGAAAATCAAAGCTGCAGTTCATGCTTGGCTGCATGTAGCCATGCACACGGAGCATCGAGTCCAAGCTGACGAATGTGATCGAGACAACTTGTTCGTACTGCAACAAAAATATGACTGTTAGCCTAAAAATAGGCAAGAATTTATTCCTTTCTCTCTTTCTTGTCTGAAGCGCTGTTTACATAAAGATTACCGGGATCTTATAGGGCATTAAAACCAAACTATTAATATCCTACTCTCAGAGAATAGCAAGTACAACACCATCTGTGCGCGACAAAAGATTGAGAACAAATAACTTATGGCTTACAGTAGTACTATTATCAGTCTCAAAACAATACTACCCTATTTTTGCAATTCTACTGGGCACATTTTTTACCTTGCAAAATGTAGCCTTCAAATTTGTGTGCAGATTACAATAGTTCTCTCGACCGAAATCCTCATCAAGTTTTGTTTTTTTTTCAATTTTACCAGCATAATACCATATTCAGTTGCATAACACACTCGAATAACAAACACACCACCAACTTAAGCCGTCAAAATCTGAATTTTTTTCTCCCATGTAACAAACGCACCCCCTACATTCGTTCACTGCAGTCCCGCAAACCGACACATGGTGCCCCTTGCCCGTTGGATATCTTTTTTTATTATTATGCCGACTTCTTTCTGCCATCTCAGCTCGCTCCCCACCTCCCCGCCCTCGTCAACTGCCGCGCACCGTATTGTTCTTTTTATCTGTGCGCAGCACGTCTCCCGTCTTCTTTTATTATCCATGCGCCACAGCGGGGTTCACAAACGGTGCGAATATAGAAAAACCGAAGCTGATAAGCACACAGAGGTCACAAAACTGACCGCACCAACCAACGGTCACTTCCTGCCAGTCCGAAACATTAAGGCCCACCCACATGTCCGCGATTTTTGAGTGACGATGACAGGGTTTGCTGTCGCCATGGCTATTGCGAATGGCTATTCATCGCTGTCGCGTTGCAGGTTTCTGGAAAACCAGAAAAAATTGCTTGTCGCCAAGAAAAGATCGCGACTATATCTGCAACATGGTAGCATCCCCTGATTCTCGCTTCGGTTGCAATTTGCTCTTCACGCTTGTTATCCGCGCGTACTTCAAGGAACGCAAGCTATATAGGCTACCTTTTTGACAGTAACTTCTCAAGTGCACAGCAAAGCGATGGCCGTATTAATCGTAAATTTTGTTATCGGTGGTTTGCTTGGTTACTTTGGTGGTAGCTCGCTGCAATGTCAACGACGGCGGTGCGGTTTTCTTGCGAGGTTGCCACGATGTTAGCAAAGTGTCATAGCACATGCTTCTGGGCACCCCTTGAAATCACAGCAGATACCCCTATTGCGGTTAAACGATTGCAAGAAAAGAAAGCCGCAAAACGCTTTTATGGAGTTTGCGGGTGGCGCAGGAACAGCTTGCAGAAGATAGTGCCTTTGACCCGCCGAAGATTAGTGAAGTGCAACAAAGAAGCTGTTTCCAAACAGCTTCTTTGGCGAGCTTATGTCAATTGGGAAAGACTACGTGACCTATCTTTTTTTTTTTTTTTTCGTTGTATTACTGCATTTTTTCTTATCCCAAAAAAGTTCTCATATAAATTGCCCCGCATAATAAACGCACCCCAAACTTTGCTCTAATCTTTAAAGAAAAAAGTGTCTCTATTACGCAAGTAAATACGATACTACCTCCACGTTACAATCGGTGGAACGCTAGCATCGTGAAAATATGAAAATTAAGCAGATTCTGGCCATCACTCACCAACATTAGTTCATTCTATGCAGTCAAACTTGCATATAATAACACATGACAGGTTTATTGGACATGATGAAGTAGGCCTAATATTTAGTGGGTCAAGCCCGGATACAGTAGAGCAGTGGTTCCCAAATGGGGGTCTGCGAAGCTATTTTTATGATCCGCGAAACCCCGACTTTTCTTTGAGTGTGACTGTGCCACGTATTAATGAACTGTCCAAAATAATGTGATGTGGCACGTTTATTGATGTTTTCGGTAGCAATAAAAGGCCCCTGTTTCACAATCCAGTTGTGTTAGTTTACCTACGCGCCCTCCCTCTCTTCCCTCAGCTGCAAGAGGCCCCCATCACTTCCACCAGTCAACAAGGGGTCCCCGACACATCCATGGCTGAAAACCACTGCAGCAGAGTGTATTCTGTTACAACGAAATGATTAACATAGGATCCATCATGGTATTGGTGATAGTGAAGAAAAACAAACTAAATGAATCAAAATATATTACAGACGAATTCCGCTACTTCAACATTAGCGGGGCGTGCAAAAAAGTCTGTTTTCCCGCCATTCTGCTGCAGCAAAATTACATTTACAGACCACAGAAGTTAAAAAATGATAATAATAACTTGTCCTTTGGTTCCTGCTGAGCGCCTGCATTACCTTTTGCATTGGACTCTTGCTAACTCTGACATACTTGGCTGCACACTAAGAGAATGTATTTTCTTGCGTATACTGCGCTAAATGTACAGAAAATTGAGAACTGAACCCGGGGTGCGAGTTACACACGATATTCGGCACGTGAGTTGGCTTTACAGCACGCCTTCACGGTAATACATGTACAAGAAAGGCCCCAGCTTCACGTATATAATTATATATATATATATATATATATATATATATATATACCGTAATTACTCGCATAATAGGCGCACTTTTTTTTTCAGAAAATCCGGCTCGAAGTTAGGGGTGTGCCAATTACGCGGGGTAAAATTTTCGAAAATTTTTTCAACTCGGTTCTTGCGCTTTAAATCTGCACACTTGTCAAGTAAAAGGCGACTTTATCGTTTACCAATTGATTCAGCATAAAACAAACATACCAACGTACCTTTTAATGAACAAGCGAGAGCCGTCAACTGCACACACACACGTAAAATTTATTTACACAAAAGTCGTAGCTGTTCCTCCTTTTCCCTATTCGGAGTCCGAGTCTGAGATCACACATTCATCCTCGCCGAGCGGGGATTCGTTTCCGGTGTCCGAATCATCCGCACCCCACAACATGTCATCCTCACTCGCATCCAGTGCGTTCGAGAAACCCGTCTTCTTGAAGCTTTTCCTGACGACTTCGTCGGAGATCGCCTGCCACGCTTCCACGATCCAAGCGCACAGCATTTCCACAGGCGGCCTCTTAATCTTACCACCTGTAGTCAGCTGATGTTGTCCTCCAGCCATCCAGGTGATGTACAGCCTTCGAACATTGTCCTTGAAAGGTTTATTCAAGGACACGTCCAAAGGCTGCAGTATCGATGTGAGGCCGCCCGGAATCACTGCCAGATCTGTGCGCAGCTCCTTTAGCTCATCTCGTACGCGGTCTACTAGGTGCCCACGAAAACTGTCGAGGACAAGCATGGACGGCAACAACAGACCACCCGGCCTCCGACCCCAGACTGTTTTCACCCAATCCACCATGAGTTCCGCGCTCATCCAGCCTTTTTCCTGGACTCTGACGTAGATGCCTTGAGGGAATTTCGCCTTTGGGAGCGTCTTACGTTTAAAAATAACGTAAGGCGGTAGCTTACGCCCATCCGCTGTCACCGCCAGCATTACGGTGCATCGTTGTTTATCAGCGCCAGACGTTCTTACGATGACGCTCCGTGCACCTTTCTCCTCCACTGTCGTGTTCCACGGCATATCAAAGCAAAGGGGGGGTCTGATCAGCGTTGCCGATCTGGGACAAAATGAAGTCTTTCTGCTGTCGGAGCTTTATAACAAAACTGTGAAAGTCCACCACTTTGTCCTCATATGCTGCGGGCAAGCGCTGGCACAAGGTGGTCCGCCTTCACAGTGCGAGGCCATGGCGCCGCATGAAACGAGTTGTCCATCCGGAGCTGGCTTTGAACTCTTTTGCTTCGATGCCCTGCGCTCGGGCTATTCTGCGCGCCTCAGTCTGCACAATATCCAACGACACAGCACAGCCGTCTTGTCATAGTTCCCGTATATGCCGGACCAGTTGCTCTTCGACGTTCGGATACCTGCCGGTCTTGGCACCGCGGAAAGCCCGTCGTGTCTTCTTCGTCGCCTTAAGTTTTTCTTCTTGGTCCCTCCAGTACCGAATACTGGTTTCTCCAACGCCGAAATGCCTGCTTGCAGCCCGGTTGCCGTGCTCCAGCGCGTACTGCACTGCCTTCAGTTTAAACCCAGCCGTGTAACTCGCGTACTTCCCCATGGTGGAACCAAAGTTCAATACACGACCACAACATACGCACACCGCTTGCAAAATGGCGTTTCTTTCTTTTTCTCTGATGGTGGTGATGGCGATCGAGCCCACGGCGTTGTACACGTGACCTCCAAAAAGCGCAGCGATTTGGGGGGTATCAGTAATTGATGGAACAGCCTTTTTTTTTTCGCTCATGGACGCTTTTTTTTTTTTTTTCAAGTTTTATTTCGACAAACACGTTGGTTAAGTCGTTGCACTTCGATTTTTTTTTATTTACTCGTCGATTTGCCTTCAGGGTACGGGGACCGCGTTCCAACTGTACCGCTGGGGGGTAGAATCGTTTCTGATCACGGCCAAGTTCGGGGTGCGCCTATTATGCGCGGAATTTAAAAAAATTGAATTTTCCGCGACCAAACTAGGGGTGCGCCTATTATGCGAGTGCGCCGATTATGCGAGTAAATACGGTATATGTATTTTTTTTCAATCTCCTGTGGTTAGCTGCTGAGCCCCACCAAAGGTTTGCTAGAGGCCAAGTGAGAACAAAGAGCCGAAGCTCCACACTCATAAGCGAGTGGCAATAAACCCAACACACTCCGTGCCATTTTACTTTATTGTAATTAATCTTCTGGTGTGTTATCTACACGCATTCGGAGCTAATTTGCCATCGATGATCATGACCACAATTTCCTGCACAGTTGTTGCGGCATGGAAAAACAAGTATTTGTTCCATGGGTTGCAAAAAACAGTAGTTCCCTTCTCAATCAGTGCGCACTGACTGTGAGCGTGCCCTAATAATGGCATCATTGATATCTGGGAACGTGTGCACTGCAGTTTTGTTCACAGCATTGCTATGAGTCGGCATGCACATGTTGGATGTAATTTCATGGTCCCCTTGTGATCGCATTGACACGTCCAAATTTTTGTCCACAGCAGTTACCGTCATTACTCGAATTTAACGCGCACCTTTTTTCCTGTTAAGCGAGTTCACAAATCACATGCGCGTTAGAATCGAGTACGAAAAAAAAAATGAATACGGTCATTCTATTGCCATTTATTTCGCGGTATTCTTTTGTTGACGTAAGCTGTCCTTCGGTTCACATGCTTATTTGTTTCGTTGGCCGTTTCATTCATGTTCTGAAATGTTGTACAGTGCAGTCCACTTATAACGATATCGAGAAAACCTAAAAATATGATCGTTATAACCGGTGATCGTTATATCTGGACTGCCGCCAAAAATTCGTCGCCGGACGTACCTTTTGTAGCTCCAGGCTTCATTTCGCTATTTTCACCAATTAACAAATATTGTAGATAGTAGGATGTCAAAAACAAGACTTTATTTCTTACTCCGAAGAACGCATCACGGGTTCGCTGAGGAAGAGAGACTGACCGACGGCGGGGTGGGAGCAGTGGGAGGAAGAAAGCACAGCCAGAGGTACACAGCCGGAATGCCAACGAGGCCCCGCCCCGATGCCGCCGCGCCGCTTTGCTTTTCGCTTTTTTTATTTTCTCTCTCTTTCCCGCTTTCGTACGGCAAGCTACTCGTAGCTTGCCGGCTTGCCGTTGTAGAAGGCGGGGAGCCGCGAAGCGCGCCGCTTTGCTTTTCGCATTTTTTTTTTTTTTTTGAAATTCTCTCAGCCTCTCCGCGGTCGACGCGCGGCGAGGCGCAAAACGTGACACAGCTGGCGCCATCTGTAGCGCGTCGCGCCAACTCGCGATGCTCTCCTCGGCTTTTTGAACGGCCGGGACGCGCTGCCGGCGCTGTGCTGCAGTGGCGGCAGGTACTCGCCTACGCTAACTTTTCGTCTTGTCTCGGCATAGTTCGTTTCAGAGGAACTTATCAATCTAAATGTTACGATTATTCTGAATGAAACATGCCGTCCACGGCAAACTTTTCATCGTTGTATCCGATATGCGGTGGTAACATATCGTTATATATGGTTTTTTCCCCATAGCCCCAATGCATAAAATGAGACTGTTAAGTCGACCCATCGTTATAACCGATATATCGTTATATGTGGTATCGTTATAAGTGGACTGCACTGTATGCGTCTTTCGGCTGTTCAATCACTCGATCCTGTACGTGTTATTGCTCCTATGTCCAACCTCAGTGTATTATTGCAAATGCTGTTGGGCTTGTTTTTTATGTTCGTGTCTTGAGTTCACATTCGGCCGCATGTGTTGTTATCATTAGACATATGTGCGTTTGTTCTGTTTTTCTTTCTTTTTTTTTATTTCGGTTGTCGACTGAAACGACGCAATGTGTAACATTGATGTACCCACTCCTGCCATGGCTCCCAAAAGGCAGCCGGCAGTATCTGATAAATAAAAAAATAAAAATAAAATCGGCATTTCCAAAATGGCCGCCCCCTACGTGCGTCAGCATGGCGCGTCGGCCATTTCTGCCTATGTGTTTCCCATGTGCGGCACTTCATAGGTGTGCTGAGGAGTTCGTCATCTTGTAGTGCATTAGCATTGACGGCATGGAAGGGCCGACTCCAAAAACTCGACGAGTGCACCACAATGCCGTTTTTAAAAGAAAAGTCATCGCGTGTGCCGAAACGGACGGAAATCGGGCCGCATCGCGGTCGTTCGGAGTTCCCAAAACGTGCGTGCGGGACTGGCGGAAACAAAAGCAGAATATTGTCGACAGCAAAGATTCACGCAAAGGCTTCAGTCGACCACAGCAGGGTCGGTTTCCGCAAATTAAAGAGCTGCTTGGCGAGTATGTGCTTGAGCAGCGAGCGGCACAGCGGCCCGTGACGACAGAACTGCTCCAAGGGCAGCCTTAGAAAAAGGTCTAATGCGGAGCCAGTTTAAAGCGAGCAGGTGCTCGCTAACTAACTTTATGAAGAGGAAAGGCTTTTCTCTCCAAAGGCAAACAGGCATATGCCGAAAGTTGCCGGAGGAGTACAAAGAAAAGCGTCACAGTTTTCAGAGGTTCGTGCTAAACTTGCGGCACAACAACAACTACCTGCTTGGGCAAATCGTGAATGCCGATCAGACGCCTCTTTAATTCGACATGCCTGGCACCACAACCGTCGAGAAGAAGGGGGCGAAGCAAGTTCGCATGCTGACATCGGGCCACGGTAAAACTAGAGTGACGGCAATGCTCTGTTACACGTCAGATGGGCACAAGCTTCCCTCGTACCTCATATTTAAACGGAAGACGCTCCCGAAAGGAGTCGTTTTCCCGAGTGGTGTGATCGTGCTGGCCAACGAGAAAAATGGGTGCGCGTTGGAATCGATGTCTTAGTTTTTTTTAGTTTTTTCGTCATGAAAACCGGGTGCGCGTTACAATCGAGGGCGCGGTAGAATCGAGTAAATACGGTAATTGCGGCTGAATGTAGTCGTGATTAGCTTGATGCGCACTGGCTGCGCATGTGCCTTCGTAACGCTGTGGTTGTCATTCACGATTGCACGGCTAGTGATGAACAGCAGCAGTTGTGTTTTGAGCGCTACATCGACAACGTGGCGGGAGTTCTTGAACAATTCAGCTGCAGCCTGCACACAAATTAAACCCATCAGCAGCTATGCGGTAGATGGACGATGTGGCGCCGATCATCCCAGTGGCAAAAAATTTAGTGGAATGTGCAAGTGGTGGCAGAAAAAAATGTATCCAATGATGATGCGAATCTCGCGATGCAGCCACACGACTATGACAAGATATTGTAGAGTTGCTAGCAGAATTTCATGGTAGTCCCAGGCAAGGTTCTCGTCCTTATATGGTAGCTCTTGAGAAAACTTCGCTGGAAGTGAAAATGCCCAGAAAAGGTGTTCGTTGTGATGAGACATTTTTCGCTCTCTGACGAGAGAAAAAAAATTCGTTGTGGCGGAAATTTCATTGTGTTGGTATTCGTTACGGTGAGATTCAGCTGTATTCCGTTTGTGTTTGACTGGTTGGGAAGACACTCGAGTAGCCTTCCATTTGGCACAGAAGAGATTATCTTGAAAAATTGAGGTGGCTTTGTTTCTTTTTTGTGTGTGTAAATTTGTTCAATTTCTGGTACGTTCAATGCTGGAAATTTCTGGTAAGATTTAATTTTCTTCCACATGCAAAAGCAAGCTTTTCTTCTATAACAAGAGATTTCCACACTTACCCTGCAGTTGAAGAGCACTTGACCGACCTTGCTGTATGTGTAGCCCTCCGTATCTCGCTTCAGTTCGTATGCAACATTGGTGTTGTTTATCATCAAGTTTTCCACACAACCGGTGAAATTTGCTGCCACTTTGATTCCTTCTTGGTTGAAGTTTGGCATACCACCAATGTAAAGCTGAAAAAAACAAAGGCAATTTGGAAGCAAAGCTTTGATGAAAATTTGCAACAAAATGTATGTGATGTGCTGCCATCTTCTAATGACCCTATGCAAACAATCTATTAGAGCATCAATCTATTAGAGAGTTGAACATCAAAACTGGTGTCACATCGTCACATTAAACCACATAGGCCTGACCCAGATCAAAAATTTTTTTTTATCGTGATTGGCACTGTCACAAAAGCTGCAAAGGAGGGCCAATCACCGTTCAAAAATTTCAATCCCTGCTCAGGTATGCACACAAACGCCACAACATTCATGCATATTGTTCACGTGGCGCAAGATTCATGCATAGACCAAAATACAATGTGACCAAACCGATATTGATACGGACGCGCTTGCGTATTTTGTGTACCCCTCCTGTGTTGCACTGTCGATGATAAAACTTGACCAAAGTTGGCACGGCATGCGCAAATTGCCGTTTAAGCACAGCATGTCAGATTGGCAATCGATGCAGCACTCCAAAAACTCTACGAGTGCACCACAATGCCGTTTTTAAAAGAAAAGTCATCGCGTGTGCCGAAACAGACGGAAATCGGGCCGCATCGCAGTCGTTAAGAGTTCCCAAAACGTGCGTGCGGGACTGGCGGAAACAAAAGCAGAAGATTGTCGACAGCAAAGCTTCACGCAATTGATGGTGCAATTGATGCAGCACTTCCACCCCTGCAGACCTTTCCCCATTTTCTATGACACTTTGGCCAGGCCAAGCATTAGACAAGCTGCTTTCTCCTCCTAACAAGATACAATTCAAAGAAAAATGTTACACTTAATTCTTATAGGCAATGTTTGGGCTTGTCACGACTTACAACCAGGAGAATATTCGTTCTACAACTAGACTAGGTGCATGACACACTCCACTTTTTTTAACCGATTCTCAACCAACGGCCCGAAATCTCCCTTGCTGCATATTTTCCTTCGTTTTTGTGTTTTTGAGCCACCACTAGTGGTTGCCGATTCCTGTGAATATAACACGGGCTTATTTTTAGAAGCTCAACCTTTGGACAAGAGCAATGAGGGGATTCAAAGGTAATTACAACCGCAAGGAAAAAGAGCATGGACAATGAAGCAGACACGAAAAAAGCATAGGAAAAATGATTTCTTGCTTGTTCTTTAAAAGCAGACAAAGCTACAAATAGGACCCTCACCTGCAGAAAATCAACAGCCTATTCTAAATTAAATAGCTTTATGCTATGTCGGAAAACAAAGCTAAGGCAGAAAGTTGAACTAGTCAGAGTTGAGATATTTGCAAAATTTTGAGCAGAATACTGGAAACAAGTAAGTAGAGGTGTCGCAATTTAACTAGTTTTTATGCAACTTTAAAAAGCTTCTGTAGAGACCCAAAGAGATGCTTGCCTCTCTGTTCAAATCCAGTTGGAAGGAATCTCCTTTCAGTCTCTGACGGACCACTACGCGGTCGACAGTGAAAACCAGCTCTCGTCGAAAACGGGAGATCTGTACGTCGTGCCAGATGTTATCGTCCAGCAGGCTTCCGCACCACACCTCGGTCACCACACCTTCGCCTCCTGCAATATTTCACGGGTGCATCTATCATAATGCTATCAGTATTTCCATGATTAAATGGTATCGCAATACCAGTATCATTAGTGCAAAGTAGCAAGCCTTTTATATGGTTCTTAAAAATGCAACAATCATAACATTTCACTGATGGGCAGGCCCCCATATATCCGTGGCTACCGAAATTTTCTCTTCTTTAGGCGTCCTAACATGTCATCATCATCATCATCTACAACGCCCACTGCAGGGCAAAGGCGTCTGCCATGATCCGCCAATCAATCCAGTTTTGCACTTTCTGCTGCCACGTTATACCTACAAACTTTTAAATTTCATCGGTCCATCTAACGTTCTGTATCCACTTCGTGTGTTTGCTTTCTCTGAGAATCCAGTGAGTGACCTTTAAAAACCAGCGGTTATCCTGCCTGCGCCCTACGTGCCCGGCCCATGTCCATTTCTTTTTCTTGATTTCAACTATTATATCCTTATTCCGGATTTGTTGCCTAACTCACTCCGCTCTCTTTTTGTCTTTTAAGCTTACACTTACCATTTTCCTTTCCATCTCTCACTGCATCGTCCTTGTAATGACTGACACATGAGTCACAATGACACAGAACAAAAAGGCGTTTATTACAAGAAGGACACTGCCTATATAGCTAAGGCGGTGATAGGTATCAGCACACTTAATGATAGAAAGAAGGCACAAAAACTGGCGCATGCTCTCTCGTTGCCCACTGACATCACTTCGTGTGATTTTACAATCTATCAGTCCCTAACTTAAGCAGAACCCTCTTTGTAAGCCTCCAAGTTACTGCTCCATAGGTAAGAACCAGCAAGATGCAGCTGTTATATACCTTCCTTGTGCAGGTTAGTGGCAGATTACCAATCATGATTTGAGAATGCTTGCCGAATGTAATCCACCTGATCCTTATTATTCTAGTTATTTCACTACCATAGTTCGACTCCACCATTACCACCTGTTCAAAGTATACATATTCCTTTACAACTTCCACCGTCTCTTTACCTATCGCAAAGTGCAGTTTTCTGCCAAGACTGTTGCACATTACTTTAGTTTTGTGCATAATAATTTTAAGACCTGCTCTTCCGCTTTCCATATCCAGTTCTGTAATTATGATCTGTAATTCGTCCCCTGAGTTACTCAACAAGGCAATGTCATCAGCGAATCGCAGGTTACTAAGATACTCTCTGTTAATTCTTATTCCTAACTCTTCCCAATCCAGGATCATGAAAACCTCCTGTAAACAAGTGATGAATAGCATTGAAGAGATCGTGTCTCCCTGCTTTACACCCTTTTTTTATTGGAATTCTGCCACTTCCCTTAGAGAGAAGTAGGACGGCTGTGCATCCACTGTAGATTTGTTCCAGTATGTTTATGTATGGTTCATCGATGACTTGATTCATTAGTGCCTGAATTACTGCTGAGGTCTCGACTAAGTAAAACGCCTTCTAGTAATCTATAAAAGCTATGTACAGTTGTTGGTTGTATTCTGCGCATTTTTCTATTACCCGATTGACAGTATGAATATGGCCTATTGTGGAGTAGCCTGTACAAAGTTCTGCTTGGTTTTTTTTGGTTGATTGTACTCTAATGTCGCCCTAATTCTATTAGCTATTATTTTTTAAATAGTTTGTAGAGACCAGACAGTAAGCTGATTGGCCTGTAATTTTTCAAGTCCTTTCTTATGGATTAAGATGATGTTGGAAGTGAGCGCCATCCCATCTATGTGTTTTTCTTCTTCTTGTGGTTGCGAGTTTGGTGTTTGGCAAGAAGCTGACTATTCAATTCAGACATGTATCAACCAGCCCAACAGCGATTTCTACTAGATGATTTTCGCGTTCTTCCAAGATTCTGGTACCTTTCCCGTCAAGCGACACTTTGTACATAAGGTGGCCAGTTTTTTTAACACAATTTCTCCGTCATCTTTCAGGAGGTCCGTTGTTACCTTATTTTCACCAGCGACATTGCCTCTCTGCATTCCTTCAGGGGCTTTCCTTACTTCCTCTGTCGTTACTGGTAGGATGTTGAATTCCTCTGAGCTATTATTGCTTCTCACGATATCATCCTGGTTGTTGCAACTTGTGTACAGCCCTCTGTCCGCCACCTCAACTATCCTATCCATATTGGTTATGACATTGCCTTCCTTGCCCTTAATACATCCAATTTTCACCTATGCACAAGTTTGCCTTTGCAGCTTTAAGGCTTCTGCCATTTTTTACAGCCTGCTCGATTCTGTCCATCTTATACCTTCTGATGTCAGCTACCTTACGCTTATTGATCAACTTCGAAAGCTCTACTAGCTCTATTTGGTCGGTTTAATTTGAGACTTTCATGGTTTGTCGTCTCTTAAGCGAGACAGGAAGAAGTTAGGCGCAATAAACGCATGAGAGGAGGGGCCATCCAGGGCACTAAGCCAGCCTAAGCTTGCAAGGCTAGAAGTTCAAAACACCGCCAGGTGGAGTTTTTTTAGCGTTGACACAATGAACGATGATCTTGCTGGTATCATCAAAGAGTGTGCAATGGAAACTGGAGGTACAGTCACTAGATAGGATAACGGAAAACTATCTCAGGAGACAAAAAATCTCATTAACGTGTCATAGTGATTCCTAAAAAGCATTTTTGCAGTTGTTAATATTGGCGAATCCTGCACATATCACGGGCTCGCATGACACTGAACGTCACAGCACATATAGTCTGGTGTAGGCACCCATACAAAAGACAAAAACATAACATACATGTTTGCATTCAGTGTGAGAAGGTACCGTGGCTCGAAATCTGCGGTGAGAACATGTCACTTATCCTAAATAAGGCTTTGATTACGATCTCTTTAAAATTTCTGGAAAGAGTTTTTGACTTCTCCTATCATGCTACCACGAAGCCCATGTGAAATTACCAAATCCTTATGCAAGCGTACCGTTGAAAAAAAAAGCACGCCAATAAGAATAAAACAGTGCAATTCATATGTTCAGGTGTGCAGGACACACATTTGGAAATGTGCCGATTTCAGCACCGGTGCTCTGAATGGCCAAATCTTTGATCAACTTTCATGGGAACAGAAACTAAGCTTTTGCGCAGCCTGGCATCTTGTCCACTGTTTCACTGAAGAAGAATAGAAGCATGAGGACTTCTCGTGTCAGTGATGCATTCAACTGCCCACAACTTCCAAGAAATCAATCAAGACCACCCACCAAGGTCGACCGAGAAGAGCAGCTTGTTGTGCACCAGTTGAAGTGTGAAGAGGTCGCGCTGCGAGCCGTAACTGTAGAGAAGAAGGCCATCCGCATGGTTAGTCCTGAACCGCAATCGCAGGGTGTCTTCCGTAGAAGTTACTGGCCGGCGGTTCAGGTCCATGACCACATAACTCTTGCCGTCCAGCTGCAGGGCCTCTGCCTCTGCGTAATGCCAGCCAAAAAGAATGGTTATCTATCTGTGTCATTTGTAATCAGTCATATTCAGTCGACTGCATAATATATACTCCTCTCAATTTCCTCTAAGATCACGTCTTGTATCCAGCTGTGTTACCCCCGATACTTAATATTCTGCGTGCATTAGAATATGTGCTAGAGGAATGGCTTTTAGTTGCCCTATCTGCCCATCTCCCTAATGCTAGCAGAACTCAAGTTGTATGTCAATTGCTTCACGAGCCTAGTAAGGACAACTTCTTGATGCCGACCTCATTTGAAATGCATATTATAAACTTGTTCACTGGACACCTAACGCACTTATAAACAGAACTAAATCTTGCGATGCTCAAGTCACTTTTTCTACCACTGGGAACGGGTGACATTGCACAGTTGCATATATTCAATGAACTATCATTACGAAGAACCCTAAAGAAAACATAGAGGTTTCCTCATGCGTGCAACTACAGTTGAGTGAAAAGCAGCACCTAATATTCATTAGCACCAAACATCGATTGAGTGAGCAATTTATTATGACATGGATATAGTCCTAATTTAATAAGAACACCTAGTTCATATTTCAGTACAAATTACAGCTCCGTCTTGATACAAAGGCTAAGCGCACAATCCTTTGTGACTAGATATCAACCATTTAACATCAAATCAAACACCTTTTTTGTACAAAACCGGGAAGGCACAGGCATGCTAGAATGAATATTAATTGGCTGTATCCTTAAGCAGCAAGCCATACTGTAATGAACCAAAAGATAAGAACATGGGCAATATTTTTGTAATAGGTGAGGCAATATGGGATATCCCGTAAAATGAATGTCTTTTACCCAGTATTGGAAAGAACAGGTGTGATGCGTACCAAAAAGCCTTTGGAGATGTTTGGCGACATCAACCACATGCCTCCACAGGGCATGGTAGTGCAACTATTACTCATTTCTAGAAAAGTCATTATCTGCCAGCTTTGATTGCTTCACGCAAAGCTTGTGCACATCTTTCTCAAGAGCGTCAAGGTGCTCCACGTAGCTGAGCGGGAGGTCCTTCGCGAAAAGAAAGTCCCACACGGGATGTGTCATCTGTTCGGATTTCCGCGACTGTTGGGATTCCCGAGCATGTTGTCGGAGTCTCAGCTCTCACTGCTGTCCGCAACACGTACACACGCAACGATTGCCTCATCTGTGAGGAACTGGGATGTTTCCACAACATCAACTGCATGAACTGGTTGGTCCACACACACGACGTATTTTCGTTAAGCACTGACGACAACTTCGGCAGCTCTTCGTCGACGGGCGCTTCGCAGGCCTATTTTGGCATCGCTTTAGGAGTTCAGAAATAAAGCTCCTTCATCCCTCTCTTCCTCGTCAGAAGCGCAGTCAACTCGTTTTGCGAAAGCGTAAACGGGGCGCATAGCTGTGCATTCCGTCGGCGATAGAGCCATTTTCAGCGTATGTTGTAGGATTAAATTGCTCTATCTAATATCACGGCCCTGGATCATCGTAACAAGCAGCTTATTTTACCATAAAAAGCATACAAAAGTGAATGGTGCAATCGCTGTTCGTCATTACCGATATATTATAAATAGTATTGTTATAAGTGGACTCGACTGTACAACCACTTTTACAAGACATCCTGTTGCTCAGTAGTAGATGCATTAACACATGGAGAAAATATAGTTGACCGCATTGCTTCCATTCCACCAAGTGTGCTATCCAACTCATAGTAGCAGCAAAGCTGTTAACTGTACACTTTTAACACATCTGGGTGCTCATGCACAAAATCTCTGCCATGTCTGATGGCATCTTCTAAAGTGATTAGTCAGGAAGACCATCCCAGGCCACTAATGCAAGCATTAAAGAAGCTATGCTTACCATATTCACAACCATACAGCTGTGCTCTGAGTGAAATGCGGTCTCTCCAACGGGTTGGGTTGATGCGAATGTATTGCGCAATGATCGGGTACTCGAACACGTTGCGCACCTCTGTGTTGCCATCGCTGTTTCCTCTAAAGAGCTGTCACAAGGAAAAATTGGTCTTAGTTGCTTGATCCAAATTAAAATCTATGCAACTTTTTTTCTTTTTTGGTCCAATACTTTACGAATCATTTTCAACTTGCTCCCCATTGTTGCATATTCATGCCAATGCACTAACTCAGGAAAACAACACTATTACAAGTCAAGCATGCAAAGAAAATATGAAAAATTTCACAAGACCCAAACATAACAGGGAATGTTCACCTAAAAATTTATTCGTTTAAAGTCATTCGCAGTTAACTTTACCAACATCAGAACCAGGAAATTGGTGTCAATACACAGATGACATATTTGTTGAATAGTCTGGGTGTTTGCATACATAAAAATGGTAGGAGTCTACGAACCTTTTATACCAAAAGGAAGCAAATAGTTGTTGCACAGAAGCTGAAGCAATTATATCTAAACAAAGATGTACATTTACATATGACATTGTGGGGAGCTGGCTTAGCATGACAATGCATAAAGTGAGACACAAGGTCTTGTATGGGTTAGCCAGTAACAAAAGGAAATTTTGTTGCTGGCAGACAATACTAGTGCTGAAACGCGCCACACTTTGGAAGCAGCTTTTGTCCTCATTTTCTAATAAACTCTTATTTCGATCTCGGACACAGCGATGCTTCTTATAGCCAGTCGGTCTCTTACATCAGAGTCTTTTATAAAGGGTCCTTTACAACTGTAGTACCTATTCAGTGAAAAAAAAATTTTTTTTTTTTTTGACAATACCGTGTTTGCATGGCTTATAACCCATAACAAATGCTGTCCAGTCATAACCCTTGTGCCCCTGTTAAACATTGGCCTCTACTTTTCCCCATGTGTTGTTAGAAGTTCAAAGCAATAAACATCCCCCTTTCCTGAACCTAGTCATCACTGCATTCATTTTGCCACAAAACCAGAAACAAAACTCTTCTATGGCCAAGCACACACACGCTCAAACCAAACTCAAACCGACACGCGAGCCTCCAGAGTTTGGTACTTCTACCAGTACAACAGAAAGATTAATGCTTGCCCATGGTCAGGACCAAGAAAGAAATGGCAAAAGCGCACCTTTGGATTGCCCTCTCTATCCTTGTACTCAGTAAAGTCCCCTCCGTGGTCGCCGTAGTAGATCTTGAACTCCTGAACAAACTCCGGACTATGCTGCTTTCCCATAGTGACAATGGATGTGATGGTCTTCTTGGAATTGAGCGAGATCAGTAAGTACTGATCAAAGTCCGAGTTCTTTGCTGTCCATGCAGAGCCACCTGTGAAGAACCACATTATGCGAGATGATGTCAAGAACCACGTCATTTCGTCTTTAGTAACTGAGGCACACATTTTCCAACAAGATAAAAAGTTTTCAGGCCTTTGGAAAACCATAGGCACTTTAACCATCTCAGTTTTTCTTTTCCCATTTATAAATAATGATTGATAATCTGTCACTAACCCTCAAGAGGAAGGTATATAAAAGCTGCACCTTGCTGGTGCTCACCTACGGAGCAGAAACCTCGAGGCTCATAAAGAGGGTTCAGCTTAAATTGAGGACGACGCAGCGAGTGATGAAAAGTAAAAGGACAGGTGTAACCTTAAGAAACAGGAAGCGAGCATAATTGGTGAGGGAACAAACCGGGGTTAAACATATCATAGCTGAAATCAAGAAGGATAAATGGACATAGGCCGGGCACATAGCACGCGTAGGCAGGACAACCGCCGGTCAGTAAGGGCAACTGACTGGATTCCCAGAGAAGGCAAACACACCAAGGGAAGACAGAAGGTGAGGTGGGCCGATGAGATTAAAAAGTTCGCAGGTATAACATGGCAGCAAAAATCACAAGACCGGGTTTATTGACGGATCATGGGAAAGGCTTTTGCACTGCAGTGGGAGTATTCAGACTGGTGATGACAATTTCTTTTCCCACTGCATCATTAGATCCGAGTGGCCCTACAGCTACATTATTCCAATGATCAAATCGCTCTGAAGAGTGAATGATAACAGCGAAAGGCAAACAGGACAAGAACAGTTGTCACAGTGAATAAAGCGAGATCTTAATTTTAATGTAGACATGATTTAATATTATTCAAAGCTTTAATATTGTCTACAGATGAAAACAATGGGAAGAGACAGTGCGTACCTCCTAAAGTTCACACTGCTTAGCACTGATCACTTCACTAAACTTCAGACAAATGAAGACGAGACAAAAAGAAGAAAAAAAAAACGCCAGGTCTGTACTCAATGCGCGGCACAATCCAGTGAAAGCTGGAAGAGCGGCCTTTCTAGAGCCTTTTTCAAACACTCGTTTGGTAACTGCTACAGGCACCCTTGCTGGGTACACACTACGCCATAAATCACTGATTTTTGTGAGGTGGAGAAGCACCCACAATGCCATTACTCGTCATTCTTCAGGAAAGTGTGATACCTGCTACACACCTGTAAGGCATTAATGCTCTGGTTGATGACGGTGGAGAATTATAGCTGAGCCTTTTGAAATGGGCTGGAAGCATTCAATGACCTACTCGTTATGCAATTTGCATCGTTGAATACCTGGCTTGTTACTTTACTCTTTTAAAGAGCTCGATTAGACGCATTAACATGATTCACTACGCGACATGAGGCCTGCATAGGGTCTGCTTCAAACAGCGTTTCAAGCACCGGAGTGGCTGTGTAATATAATACTAGGCTGCCATGCAGACGACATGAGTTCGAATACCATTGCACCCTGAATTTTTTCATTCATTTCATTTTTATATATAATTTTCGCATGATAGCGCTTATGGAAACTGGCAACAGTGGACAGCTAAGGTGCCAAAATCGGTCCTTGTTGTGATCTCATAACAGATGTCCCTGCAATACAGCAGTGTTGATTTTTTTTCCTCTCTAGTAACAGAAATATCCACAGCAATGATAATTAAAAGGGTTTTACATCCCAAAACCATGATATGATTATGAGGAGCACAGTAGTGGAAGGCTACGTAACTTCGGGTTCTTTAACATGCAACTAAATCCAGGCACCTGTGTAGTGACAGAAATATCACAAGACAGAATGGTGAATCCCAATAGTAGCTACAGCTTTGTTTTCTTCAACTGTCTGCCACTGAGTAATCTAGCACAGAAAGAAAGAGCAAGAGTGTCATGGTTTTGCATATATTTACTAGCGCTTCATCAGTTACAGTTAGTAAATGTTTGAGCCATTTGCACAGAGCAGAACCTGTCCTTGCCTGCAACACGCTATTTATGTATCAGCCTCAAGGTCCACATTTATTTGAATGTAGCCAGAGTTTCTCTTTTATATTTTTGCTGCCTAAAGTGATCTGTCCCATTACAGCTGTGGTCACGTGACAATAACGTAATTAAGGTATATATAACCGGGCTGTTCACGCACCAGATTCAACTGTTGTAGTAGGCAATACAATGACAGGTAGACAAAAAAAGGAAGAACATCTATAGGTGTTTGTCAAATTCTGTGTTCCCACTAACAACCAATGACACTGTACTGATGCACTTAACTGCTACAGCCAATTTAAACTAGGTAAGTCGAAAATTGCAGCCCCAGCGTCAAAAGGACGCTAAAATGAAATAGTAACTTAGCATAGACTCATAAATTATACTATGAAAACTCTAGTGTCATTAGTTTCACTGGCCATAGACTTAATATTAGATGATATTTTTAAAAAAACAATGCCAAAAGTTTCACTTTTAAATCTGCCATCAATATCCCCTATGCTAGCATCACATATTTCAAAGCGTCTTTTTGTATTTTGGCCACAATGGCTCAACAAATTTCCTGATACATTGTATCTTACATCTCTAGCTCCCTTGGGAGACTATGGCCGGTATTCACAAACTAACCTCATCCTTATCTTATGTTTTCCTGAAGTTTCTGTACACTCCACTGTGTGTTATAAGGACATAAAAACCTATAACAGGTTACAAGATAAGTACAAGATGGATTTCTGAACACTGGCCCATTCTGTTTTTAAGACGCACTAAAGGCACAAAACAGGTAAAGAAAAATGCAAGGTAAGAATAAGGTTCGTTTGTGAATACTGGGCCTATGTGCTTCAGTTTTACCGACTAGAAACTACATAGGCCCTAGGAGACGTCACAATATATGATGTCGTGACTAGTGCAGCACTTCAAGGTGGTGCAATGCCCAAGTGTTTTGTTTTTTTCGCATATTTTATTACCTACCAAGGGTCTGCTCAAAGCAAGCATGGAGTCTTTGATTTTGAAAAAGAGTAATTTACTCATAAAAAAATAATATTGTGTTTCTCTACAGTGTCTCTCAAAGCTTATAGACTTAACATGCACTAGACACGAAACGTTATGTCTGCTTTAATGCAGCAAAGCATATGGTGACAACCTACAGAGAGCTGGCTCACTGGTACCTTCTATGTATAATGAATATAACGGCTCACTACGCATGGATAAGTGTCCGCACAAAAACACTTACTGTCAAGGTAGGCTTTGTCTGCCCTCCTGTCTGCAGACAATTCGGAAGACGCGGTTAGCTTCCCATACAGAGCTTCGTCGCAACCTGGAAGAGAGCAATTAGAGATAAAGGCAGCCCATAAACAGAATGCTTACGTGACACATCCTTATCTCGGTGCATGCCACAGCTACTCATTAAGAGAACATGTTGCTGCTCTCGACTACTATTCAGCCTTGCGGCACGCAAGAAAGCGGTGCTTTCCATAGCTGCAGATCTCGAGCATTCACTGCATAAAGGCAAGTCTTGACGATTTCAGGTGTTTCTTTAGAGGAGCGAGAAGTGTACGGCAATAAGTTCTGCGGTTCTATGCAGGACAAAGAGTTTGTCGACACAGGAAGCAAGTTGCATTTAGCAGTTATGAGATGTTTTCATACAGTGCATAAAACAGAACTGCCGGCGCTACAATTATCACGCTGCACCTGATTACGATGCGCATGCAAAATAACGGTACGCGACTGTTGCGTTGGACCATGACCACGATTTAATAAAGATATCAGACGGGAATTTTCGGTTGCGGCTAAATTTTTGACAACCACGATTGGCTCCCTTCCGCATCTCGCTCAAGTGAGCCAATCGAGAAGGAGGAAATTTGACGGCAATCGAAACCGACTTCGAAACTTCACTGTGTAAACCGGTGTTTTGCGGGCGTCACACAAGTACTTTCGACTATGAGCGAGCCCCGATCAAGATAGAATCGCCCCACCGTGATTGGCTCCACTTCGTATCTTGTGTAAACACGCTACCCCACAACAAGCTATCGGATCCTGATCAGGCTCGATCGAGATCAAACGTGTGCCGAGTGACATCTGTACGTGACAGCGTCGATAAATGATTCCAACGTAACAGCGCACGCTAGTGCCGTTCAAGGATCCACACAAGCACGAGCATTGGTACAGCGCTGCAGGAGTTCACATCGGTAAGCTGAAGAATGCGACGCCCTTCCGTTGGAGTGAGGCACCGCACTTCGCGCAGGTTCCGCGAGTTTAATATTCCCGCACGAAATTGGTGAAGCAGCTAAGCAAGCATGGGGGTGCTTCACGATCGATGGTACGGGTCGGTCCATCCTACACCGCGTTCAACTGAGTTTTCAAGGAGTAACTTTTACAACGCTCTTTCGCGAGCAGACAGGTGGGTTAGGTAGTCGAAACAGGTGTTAGCCCTAAAATGTACCAGCACCGAGGAACATGAAAGTGCGAGAAACTTTTACCTGAGCATGTCCCGATCGCTTGTAAAACTAACAAAAGAAGAAGGCAGTGAAACAAGCGAGCCATTGTCACTTGTTCGGATTTGAACTACAAGGTGGGGCATTTTTCAGCACGGAATGTAAACACGGACTTTTGAACTCTTACGAGCTCACGCCCAACTTTTCGATGGACGTACGGGGTTGGATGACACATTTGAATGGAATGTCAGGTGCTGCCACCCGTGTACCATCGGTACCACGTGTTCAAGATGGCAGCGCCCAGCCGGTGTTTTTATCGAAGTGGTGCTAAGAAAGCAGCAAGATGAACGAGCTTGAATTGTCTTGACCTCTGTTTCTCGTATCAGTGCAATGATTAGGTTGTAGCGAAGTAGGCGGTGCGTGTTTCCGCGCGTTGTTAGTGCCCAGAGTGTCCGCGAAGACTCCCGATGCCAACCCCGGGAATTTTGTACACCACTACTTATGTGTCAGCTGAGAGCCATAAATTGGCAATACTGTCTGACGTTACAGTGGTGTCGTTACAGTGGTGGAATTTGTTGTGGCCATCGCCCATTTGTGAGCACCATGGCATCGCACACCGTTGCGCGGACGGTATGGGACCCAGAAGCTGCTCTGTTCAGGAAAAGAGGTAAGTGGGGAACTTCACAACATACCTGACGCTTTACATTTCTCTTACTAAAGATCCCAAGCGTGTTCTATTATAGCTTTTTTTTCTGTTCTCTAGGTGTCAGCAATGCTCTTATTGTCCTGAACCAGCCCCTAAGTGCCCAGAATACGGCGTTTTTAAAGAAAGTCTGGAGTAAAGGTAAATTGCCTGCATTTCACCACTTTCAGCACCACGCCATCTCAACAAACCTTTGCTATCTTACTGGTGCCTATCGCAAGCACAGGTCTGTGGGATCTGTTTTAACATGCTGCTTGTGGTTCTCAGTTGTGGAGGTTGTGGTTGCTAGGGCCACATTATGCAGCTGCAGGAATGAGTGAACACAGCAGACTGAGTTCCACAAGTCAAGGTCCCCACACCACCCTTCCCCCCTTTTTTTTTTCTTTAGCATCTGTGAAGATGTGTGTTGATGGAGGAGCAGACCGTTTCCGCACTGCGATGGCCACTTGTACAGATGAGCTAATTCCAGATTATGTCACTGGAGATTTTGACTCTGCATCAAAAGAGACTCTCGAGTACTACAAATCAAAGTAAGTGTGCAGGTGTCTTTGCTGACTTACTTCTTCTTTTTCTTCTACTTACCTTTTTTTTCAAAGGCAGGGGTAGCACATAAAGACAGAGAAATTGTGACGAAATTTTGCAAGATCACTGTATGGAAACCACATCAAGTGATGCGACAGTGCCTTTAGCTTCCACGCTGAACTCGCACTACATGTGAGACGGGATCAACAAAAGCAAGTGAAAAAATGGTTTGTTTTGTGTTTGTCTGCCTATGGTTTAGCTTTCGCTTGAAACAGCCCCTGCCTGTTCATTCATCTGTGTATGTTTGCATTATTGTTGCCACTATTAAGCACTAGAATTAATGTTCAAAAAATTCAAGCTAAATTCTTCCATGCTTGTGTACAGGCATAGAGTATTAAGAATCCCATTACTTGCCAAAAATAAAATATGCCAGTCATAAGGAAGATAAATAGGTAAAAAGTTAAGGTGATGAAACTAAAGCTTTCTTATTTTGCTATTGTCCTGTGGCCTACCACTATGGGGCTGGTGTAAAAATTAAAAAAGCGCTGACATCAAATTTACATGTCAAAAATGTTTTATCCACAAGTAGTTAAACCGACCCCCTAGTAGCAATTCATGATCCGAAATGCACCTGAAAGGCAAATAACTATCTGTTTTACTGATTAATATGACCAGCACCTAGCATGATTCAAAATGGGCAGCAAGCTCTCCAATTTGTAGCTGTGGCAGCGCTTCCTCACGGTCACCGCCAGACCATGCCCCAGCTGATCATTTGGCTTCAGAAAGGAGTGAAGTGAGGCCCAACTGACATTTCGTCTGTCATATGCACATAGGCAGTCGTGCTGTTGCCACTAACATCGCAGTTCTCACTGTCAAAATTGTCAACAAGGGATGAAGACAACATTCTAGTATTTGAAATCTTTGCAATTCACAACATTCTAAATCATTTTCGCTTTGACCCTGTCTGTGTCTTGTCTGACCCTGTCTTTGTCTGTTTCTTCATCTTATCCCATTTTAAGTGCTATTATATTCTTCAACTTGACAAATCATCAGAGATTAATGAATCGGGGAAAATCGTTTATAAATTATTGTTACTTTGCACTGCATTATCGAATTTCTACTGTCATGTTTAGTGTGCCTACAGATACTTGCAAAGCCTTTACATGTCGTCGTTCTTGCAGGGTAGCATTGTGATTCACACGCCAGATCAAGACTACACCGACTTCACCAAAGCACTGCAAATACTTGGAAAGAACACCTGTTTAAAAGTTCCACCTGTCAAGGTGTGTACGTTCTGGTTGTTTCACAACAGTAAGACACACTAGCACAGTGCAATCATATCGTAGTAAGCAGGTCAGCAGAACAGCGCTTGTGTTGCATCACTTTATCATGGTTTCAACAATACATTAGATGCACATTGCATATATGATAGAAGAGGCTTCAAAGTCAAACATGGACAGAAGAATCTCCTTAAGAAACCTGATTCGAATATTCATGCAGCATCATAACTAAAAATGGTAGGAAGAACAAAGTGTGAAAAAGACGCATCTCCAGTCAGCAGCATCGCAAACACTCAGCATGCTGGACTTAAATATCACTGTTGTACAAACAGTGCAGATTCATTGCACTTCTTATTGGAGTGACTCCACATTCTTACTTTTAAGTAATTATTTTGCCAGTAGCTGACAACAGTGCAGTCATGAAGACTTAGTAGTGCTAGATGCAAGTCTTGTGGCATGTAGCCAAAGGCTCACTATAATAGGAATTGCTGAACTATAGCATAGAGAACATAGGTGCTGAATGTTCTAATGCACATTGCAAGCATGGCTTGTGACATCACTGAGATGGAGCTTCTGAACCATCGTGAATGAATAAACTTAAATGCAGCCAGAAAACTGTTCTCTGTGATGAGCTGCATTGTTACCCATCATTCACCGCTTACACCGCACGGTTGCACACTACAGAATGGCATCTCACTGGCTTTTCACTTCGAAATCGTTCGAGTGGCACCCTCTCCCCTCTAATGTCATCTAGGGGACACGAGTGCCGCGCTTCACGACGTGAAGGCTGCTCGACACTACCGACCTTGCATCACGAAAGCAATGCAAAGCGGCGATACCATCGAGTTACGCTACCAATTCGGAAGCATGATCATGACCACGATGGCTGTGGGTGTATTGAATAAATGTTCAGTGTAAATGTTTCTCAATGTCCTGTAATGCTGGCAGCCCTTTATCAGAACTATGGCTGGTAGAAAATACACCCAGAAGTATAGGAGCGCAGTGCGACGCAAGCGACCTACAAAGAAGATGTTGCTGTTCTAGCCAAGTCTAGCAGACGACAAAAGCTGGATCTCCGCCATTTGAGTCGCAGGAGCGCTGTTTGGGGTGTTGCCATCGGCGGCACAAGAGGTGAATAACAATAAAGCCCATACCATAATCTGTGCGTCCAAGTACCTGCAATCTTTTAAATGCTGGAAGATCTGCAGACATGCTTTAAGCATAGCTGCATTGGCTTCTACCGAGAAATAGCTGCCGGTCCTACAAAATGAGCCATGAAGTGTGCTAGAAAGTAAAAGAAAGATGTAGGAAAGATCTCTGTCTAAACTGTGGTCTTAAGCAATGCAACCATAGAATACTTGCTCAATTAAAGTTATTAAGTTATGCTGCCTGTTAATCTTATCTAAAGGCACTAATGCATGCTAATGTAGTGCATTTTTAATAAAGTTCTTCATTTAATTCCCGACCGTGATTTCAGTAGGGCTTAGCATAAAACAAAAAGTGAAGAGAATCCTTCAAACACATATGCAATCATACCTTTACCCACTCTAAATTAATCTCCAGCCACCCGTCTGACTGCTTTGTCTCGCATAATTCAAGATATTGAGCTTTTGGTGCTCTTATTGACTGTGCTTGGGGGTGTCTGCAGCTGGACTGGGTGCTGGCTATCTGCGGCAGTTTTGACCGGGTGGACCACATGATGTCCATCTTCAACACACTATACGAGAGTGAGAAGTTGTTGGATGGTGCACCGGTCTGCCTTCTCCTGGAAAACTCGCTCACGTGGCTGCTCAGAACGGTATACCTGACACTTCATACTCAACTTGAAGGAATAAGGTTTATTCAGTTAAAAAAAATTGTTTTTGGGTTGCCTGGCACTACGAACAAAAAGGTGCTGTCCACAATTACGCTTTAGCATACAGTGACCACATCGGGTGCTTCAGTGAAAACAATGCTTTGGACCAGTTTTACCTGTGTACATCAGTGTGCATGCTTATTATGAAAATTTTTTAAAATGTGGAGCGAAGACCTGATATGCAGTCTGCAAGCCGCAGACTCTGAGGTCCGCGGGTCACGTGTTTGAGACCCCTGACCGAAAGTTTGTGCAGCACTTCTGCTTTGTATCACTGGTATGGGATCCTTGGGGAGAAGGAAGGGGGAAGAGAGAAAGAGAAGTGTAGTACAAATGCTGTGATGCTGAGTACTCGTCTTCGTTTAGGCTTTTAAAACATCACTATTCCAATGCTCATCAACACTGAGGCAAGGCATGCTCACTGTTCGTGGAAAAATGAAATTAAGGGCAAAGTAAGGCATGTTTCGCAAGTGTGTCGCAAACTTTTTTTTTTCTGCACCATAATAGCGTCACTGCAACTTTGCTGCGACCATAAAAACAGGTTTTCTTCAGTCGTGCCAATGCGCACAAATGTGTAGCGGAACTTAAGATGTGCCGTACCTAACCACTGCCGTAAATTCATTGGCGTGCAGGGCCAGCATCGCATCCTCACGCCACCACACCTGACTGGATCGTGGTGTGGTCTGATCCCAGTTGGAGCACCGTGCACCAGTGTCACCACCACCGGACTCAAGTGGAACCTAGGTATATCACCTCTCGGTGTAGTATTGCAGTGCCATGCGATAAACATCATTCTTCATATTTGCCGTGAAGCTCTTCCGTTCCCCAGTTTCTGTCCGTGTAAGCCCAATAGTTTGAAACCCGATTATGCTGATTGGCCAAAATCTCGAGGGAGTCCAGTCAGTGCTCCCACATGGCAGGATTGAGTGGGCGTCAGAAGAAAAGGCATGTCAAAAGGAAATGTAGGAAACCTGCATTTGCGGAACTTCACTTTCTGAAACAAGCTGTGCTCTGCTGAATAGTCGTTAATGACAAGAACTGCTAAATATTTTTTAAACAGACTTTCTTACAGCAGTAATATGCTTTTCTTTCTAAAATTACAAAAGTGTTTCTCGTCAATGCCCTCTGTCAGCCAGTTTTTCCGTTTGCACATGTTAGCAAACGTTGGCATAAAAGATGCAGTTCTCGTGTTATTGTTCACTGTTGACATGTTTCTCCAATTGATGCAATTTTTTTAGAGTAATGTCTGGAAGAGTGATGCATTGAAAATGCAGTCCTCATCTGCCACTGTGCTTTTGTGTGATGCAAACTGTACACTTTGAGTAGGCTTGGTTTGGCACGTTCTTGAAGTTTTTGCCGCTAAGTGGTTTGTTGCAGCGAGATTTGCCGCCGTTATCGCCCCAGGTACCACTTAGCTTTGGCTTCTAGTGTTGGAGGAAAAGTGACTGAAAAAATATGTGATGAGAAAAGAGTGGTTGGCCCGACTTGCCTCAATATGCTGTAAGAACACACTACGGTAGACTCCTTTTCAAATTGGAATCTGAAGGGAACCAGGAAGATAAATTCCAGGAGGAGTTTCACTCACTGAGATGAACTAGGTTGCAACATTCAGACACGAAGCCAATAATGTTGAAAACGGTTGTGTAAAATAAGCGACTGTTTTGTTTAACAAATTTTCAATTACTGTAGCTTGTGCAGTTTATGGTAGTATGAGTGAATGGTCTTGGTTCACAAATTAGTGAAGTTTTTCAACCCTTGGGTGGGACTCTGTAGAGACCAGCACAAGTTCCCAATTACAATGTGAACTTATGTATCATGGAAATTCGACATGAGGAATTCGGAAAGAAAACCCGAGCATCCAAAAACAGCTACTCTACAGACATGTGCCACCGTCACTAGTAACGAGACATTCAAAGCTGGCTGTCGTCGCTGTAAGTGTGCACAAGTTATTTTTTTCCAATTACAGTCAAACCCTTTTATAAGAGACAAATGGAGAGACAAGACACCGGTGTTCTTACGCAGACGTATGGGTTGTTGAAAAAAGCACACGTGGTACCTTGCTTATAACAGACACCTCATATAAAAAAACAAATTGCTGGCCGCTGTGTGTCTCTTATAAAGGGTTTCAACTGTAGTTCGGCCGCACCACCATAGCCATGATTATTGTTGATATGGCAGGCTTCTGCTATTAAGGTATTTTCTGCCCGACATCAAGCCAAGCAAAATGAGCTACCACTTGTTGAAAAATATCTGGCGGGCTTGCTTTTGTTTTACAGACCACTCGGAAATGAGCTTTGGCAAGCTGATCAGCACTTCGAACGCCTTCGATGGCTCGGAATCTGTGACTGTGAAAACCAGTGGGCCTCTCATCTGGACCATGGAGTTGCAGAGGCATTGCGTCACAGAAGCACTATAGTCCAATATGTGTGGAGCTGTTGCTCTCTCTGACACTGTTTGTTGAAACATTTTAACTGTACATACAAATGCTGGGAAACAACCAAGTCTGAGAGATTTCACACATTTAGTGTTGTTGGTTATAGCTTTTGTTTCTTTTAACCATATTTCAAAATAAAATAGGCAACTTTTAAATTTTTTTTGTTCATAAAGCTTAAGAAGTTTTATATTAATAAAGATTTTTTAAAAAGTTCACAAATAGTAATGGTTTATCGACCAACAGGTGCACACAACACGAGTAAATTCTCGGGTGGTTGCGCGTGTAACCCGCACGTGTACAAACACTGTCATGCCTTGTTAAATGGGTGTGTCATAAGGAAAAGAAATGACCACACCTAAGCAGAACACGCAGCAGTCGCTGTGAAAGCTGTAAAAGCGGCCTTTCCAGGGCCTATTGCAGACTAGCTTGGCGCAACTAATACAAGTACGCATGCTAGATACCCACTACACCATAAACCATTTTCATGATGTAGAGAAGCACCCACCAATTATTCGTCATTCTGCAGAGTGCCGGGTACACATCTATAAGGCATTATGTCCACTTGGTGCTGTTGCTGATGACGAAGAATTATGACAGCCTTTTACAATGGGCTGTAAATATTAAACTACCCACTCATTGTGCCATTTGCATTTTGCGACGCCTGGTTGTTATCTTACTCTTTATAATGCAATATAGTGCATGTTAATATGACTCCCTTCTCGTCATGACAACTGCATAGGGTCTGTTTAAGATGGAGTTTCAAGCACCGTAGTGGCTGTGTGGTTGAATACTAGGCTGCCACACATACCACCAGAGTTCAAATCTTATTTCATCCTGGGCATCCTGGAACAAAATGTCAGCTAACATTGCTCCTTCATATAGTATATGGGTGATTTCTAAAGGGGACTTGGAGTCAGGATTCGAGAAACATCTGTGCTGGTCTCCTCAATGACTAAAATCAGGACTTCGATCCTTTAAGTATTGGATATCCCGGGGTTATTTTTCAACACGAAGTGACCGCAAAGAATGCCTCACGAAAAAGAAAAAAAAGTTCTTAAGACCACCCTTGTCTGTGTATCTTACCCGAATGAAGTGTTCTCAATTACGACAAGCGAGAAAATGTATTTTTGCCAATGTAATCCACCTCTGTATATAGTATGCACTAGGGGTCTACAGAAAGCCATAATTGCAAATGTTTTTTTTTAATAGTGTATGCTATTTGATTCAAGTTACACTGGAGTTTTACAATTTGAAATTATTCGAACTTCCCGAAGACAAACACGGTAGCCCAATTAGCTATGGCTCCTTCAAATTTTCGGGTTGCTTCACCAAATCACACTCTGATATCTCAGGCTTTACTGCAGTCACAAATGTATTGACTCAAGAAAATGCTAGTTCCAGCATGGAGACGATAAATGCAACAGAGGCGGGGGGCTCAATGCTGTTTTGGACCTGAAAATAGAGCAACAATACTGAAAAATGGGGTGCCGTAGATTTTTACCATATGAAATTACAGATGTTTCATTATATATTTACATCTAAGAGGCAGGTTTCGTAACTCGACGGGAGCACACCCTCGTCAGGCACATCAGTTGGGCTCCAGAAGAAGAGACTGAGGAAATATCTTTGATCTTCATGTGTAAAGTGTTGTCAGCAGCACTTTGGTTGCGCTAAATCATGTAAATAAACACACTTCAGCCTCTGCATTGCTTCATTCTGGATAAGAAAGCTATGAAACGCCACACCATCAGCACTTGACCAACCTAGCCAAAAGAAACTTTCATGTTGCTATCTCGTCAGAATATGCCAGGAATCCTCTCCAACTATTCTGCAATTTCGCTTCGAAGTATTAGAAAAATATTCTAGAAATATGCAATAAATATTTTTAAATATTAAATTTGGTTCGCACTTCCATATTTGAATTTGCTTTCCACCCAAAATTTTATTATTTGCACAGCTCTAATCCACAAGCCCTCTTTAAGCCTGCCAAAAAGGACAAAAATTCTTGTGAATTACCCACACATTTCATACAGGAAAGTCTGCATCAGTGTGAAGACTAGGCTTGTGTGAATAGTGAATTTTAGGTTCGAAGCGAATTAAAAGTGAATAAGCAATTTCGGTCAAATATAATTTCAAACTGGATTCAAATAGTATATATCATATTTTAAAGAAGAATTGGCATATTTCTGATGACCTAACCTGCACAATTTTTTATCAAAAACTATGCAAATGCCACTTTTTTGCTTTAAAAGAAGTGAAAACAACTTTGAATAGTAGAAAGATTAGACTTTCGGTAGGATGCAAGTGATAACCAGTAATATATGTCACGTTTAAAAATTTACTATACTTAGAGCATATAAGCCAGTATCTTCATTAAACCATGAAGTGAAGCTTTGAGACAGTGTGAAATTTTCCTGGATGTGTTTTCATGGCTTAGCACTACTTAACTGCTGTGAAACCACCTTTGCAGGGGTCACAAGCAGACATATAGATTTGAGTAGCAGTTTTCACGGCTTAGCACCCTCCTCAGCAGTGAAACCACCTTTACAGGTGGTTGCATACGGACTAATATGCATCTATTCGTCAGTTTCGAATACTTCAGAAATTTCAGCAATTTAAATCCGAATTCGAACCAAATTCGAATACTGCTATATTCGTGTGAATACTTGAAGCATTTGAATATTTGCACAAGCCTAATGAAGACGAGTAAAAAGCTGTTAGCGTTGGCATAATGTCATCCGCAGTCTGATTAAAAGCCCTCACCATTTCTTGAAGCGGCGCAGCCAACCAGAGCTTGCTCGCAACTCGTCAGGTAGGCCTAGCACCCTCAATAGTTTGCGAGTTTTTACTTGGGCCATCTCGGTAGATGCGGCCCTACTTCTCACATCAATGAACTTCCCTAACTGCACCGTCAGCTCAGGCTATGTGCTGGTCCTGGGACCACGAAATGACTGACGGTCGCGGTGCACGGCTTGTACACTGTCCGTCTTTCTCCAGTGTCGCATGCCAGACTCACTCACAATGTACAGTCTTCTCACTTCGAGATTTCAAAGTCCCTCGATGACAATAATCTTCAGCTTTTGCTTCGCTGTGAATGATTGCCACCGAATGCTACTCGTGTGCAGGTAGTATGCGAGGGATATTGGTCAGCTGCCAGCCTGTCATGACACCACGTGTAAAGTGACGGCAACAGGCAGGAAAAGTGTGTTCCGCACTTACAGTCACGACTACTGGCAGCAATGGCCGACGCTCCCACGTTTTAATGCACATACATAACCCATAAAGTGGACGAGGGGATAGCCGCCGTGGTAGTTCAGGTTGTAGAGCATCGGATATGTTATTTGAACGTTGCAGGTTCAGTGCCTGCCCACCGACTAGTTATCTTTTCATCCACTTTTCTTTCTTCGCATTTACATCATATATACTACTAATAACATCCCCTGTACTTTCCTTAGCAGAGCTGTCTGTCAGTTTTTATTAAAATATTGTACCTATAATTAGTGGATCTCGTACAATAGAACCCCCCCCCAAGACATAGCAAACTGCAGAATTGCCAGTTTCAAAGCTTCTAAAGATGTGTGTAAATTATCCAACACACCAACTCCGTACAAAATTATTTAAAGCAAACTTTGGAAGAAAGTATCCCTCAAAGCACAAGAGGACCTCTCTCAATGAGGCTGAGAACAACAGCGTAAGAGCACAATGCGCTATTGCAGGGGTGAAACAGCCAAAATAGCATTTGAAGCAATTTTCGGAGCATCAAAATCTCACTTTTGAAGCACTAAAATGCAAATTCGGAGCAGGTTATGGGAAAAAAGCAAGGACATGCGAGGTGGTTTGGGTTTCGTGTAAGTTTCATCGCAGAAAAGACTGTTCGCTTGATGTGCACTCGAACGGTACAAGCAGAGGAGAGGGTGAAACAAGAGAGATGACACGCAGCAGCAGACTAGGGAGAGAGTGACGTCAACGTGCGTGCACTGCAAGGGAAGGCATGACCTACTTGGCACCGCCCCAACACCTGCAGCCAGGAGAGTGCGGTGCAGAGGGACAGCGTTACACAGGCTAGTCAAAGAGCTGCTTCGCATCTAATAAAACATCTATTTTTTATCACAAAAGACCAAATTCGGAGCAGTGAAAGAAAGGCTTACATCTAGAAAGAAATGCATGCACAAGCCATTCAACATTGCCTAAATCATGAAGAGTAAATATGAGCACCGCTATTACAATAAAACTAGTATTTAGAGCTACCCTACTGAGCAAACAATGACAAAGTCCACATTAGTATTTTCCACCTCTGTCAAATCCTTCGACAGAATCCGTGAATTCGAATGTACATCTGCCAAGCAGCCGACCTTAAAATTTAAGGGATGAAACTGAGGCATAAGGGTGGCAAAAAACTGGCGCACAGGTTTTTTCTTTTTTTTAGGGCAGCAAAAGTGTTGTACACCGGTCCAAATGATTGCAAGTAACTTTTTCAGACATAGGCAATTATTCTAGTGCTCACATATAGGTGGTAGTATACACGCATCAGTAACTGAACAAAATGTGCTGTCCCGTGAATAGTGCTAACAACTTCTTCCAAATCGTGATACGCTTTTCTGCAGAGCACTGGTGTATCGCAGCGAAGATGGTTTAAGCAGTGTTATGCATCGGTTAGAACAAGGCCAAGAAATTTTCGAACACTACTGCGCCCCCCCCCCCCCTTATTTTTTTCACTATGGCAGTTAGGTTTCGGGCACAACATTTCGGCTCGCTTGCAAAATGCATTCGACCGAATAAAGTATTAATGGCACGCACTCACTGGTCCGGCAACAGCACCGAATATCTATCACCGGGACGACGCAACTAATGCAACTTCAAGACTGAAAAATATTTTATATGCCATTGCTATGACGACCAACGTGGTCTCTGGCAATGTGGTCGCCAGCAACGCCGTGGTTTGCAGAATGTCGACTCTGCTCGTGCGCGAAAAATGTGGTATGCGCTCCCAGCTCTAGTTGCTAACATTAGTCGCTTTAGCTGACCAGGAAGTTCAGCAAAAGCGAGAAGGTTTGGGCATGTTGGTTATTCATCTTTCTTCATAAAACAGAGAGCACATAAAAACACTGAACAGAAAGAGATTAGGACCTCAGGACAAGTTCATAATTCCAGCGAAGCATCGGTGGCTACGCCAACACATGTTTGCCTAGAAGTTGCGTCGTCCCGCCTATAGTTATCAG